TTAATTATTGTCTATTTAAATTTAATAAAAAAATGTATAATTAATTATAACATTATTATTCAAGAACGCCATTTTTAGAGCAAACTACATTCGATGGAAAAACCTTTTCAGCTATTTTTTCGATTCCTGCAGCATTTGAATGTGAAACGTCAGCAGCAGTTCGACACGGCTTGCCTTTATGCCCCTGGCTTGGAAACTGGTAACTCTCTTTGACTAGCTATCCTCCAGGACTCCACATCCCTCCTTTATCCTTCATCCTTATTCCTAGCTGGAACTCTTTACGAAAACGAGAAAAAAAAGGAATCGCCAGACTTTGAGCGGCGGCTCTGTTTCATTTGGTAGCCATAGATCCCGGCTGGAGTGCAATTTGTCTTGTTTCAGGCAGATTCCGATAGGATAGTCAATGGATTGAGCCCACTTACATTTCTGTTATTCCAGCTGCGCTGTTGTTGTTGTTGTTGTTGTTGCTCTGCCGGCTTTGACTTTGCTGTTGTCACTCGTCATTCCAATTGGAAGAAGAGTTCTGAGGAGAGAGAAGATTACCGTTATAAGCTGGAGGAAAGAGTGACAGAATCTGCCAGTCAAATAGTTACTCCTCAATTTCACTAGGACAGGGGCGGGTACTAAGAAAATTTAAAGGGAAAATTTTAAATTTGAAGTATGTTATAAAATCAAAAATATCAAAATAAATACATAAATTTGGTGGCAATACAAATTTAACTGCATTTATAAGAGTTTGTTTATACCGACCTTTTATCATCCTTTAAGAATCTTTTCTTGTATTTCTTAAATCTAAAAGAGTGTGAATGAAAGTTTGGAAACCCCCTGCACCCGCCACTAAACTAAGTAGACCGTACTCCTCCTACATTTTTATCCTCTCGTAAGCCTCCGTTGGTGATTAATGGCCCTCGATCTTGATCCGGATCTGAATCTGAAAACGCAGCTAAGTGAAACAGTACGGGAGATAACAGCTTAAGCCGATTTCGTGCTCTGTATTTATTTGGCCCACCAACTTTTTAGCTAAGTGCAAAACAATTTACCTAAATTCCCACAACAAACACAAACGCGCACCCACACACTTACGCACTAGCCCCACACAAATACATACATGTTTGCTTAATTGCTCCCCCGACTCCTTTGTTGTTGTTGCCCGGTTTTTTGTTTTTGTTGTTAGTATTATTGTTGTTGTTGCAGAATCGCTTGAAAAGCCTGCCAAAGCAGCTCTGCACTTTTGCGGTATCTGGTTTTTGTGCATGTAATACCCTGTAATTGAGGACAGGGGGGGATGTACCGAATGCCAACAAATTGCCATAATCCGAATGCAGTTTTTTCAGCACGAAGTGAAAATCTGACTTTGAGCTGAAGGCTTATGATATTTTCCCAATCTCTTTTTATTTTTTGATGAAATGTTTTCAAAGGTGTAAAATACAAGTCAATGGTTAAAGGTTTAAAAAGAACAATTTGGGTAACTTTAAAAAAATTCTTTTTCTTTCCTTTGCTTATTTTTTGTTAAAAAAAAGCTTAAACTTATATAAAATAATAACTAAATAAATTATGAATGGAATAAAATAATGTGCTCCTGATTTGTACTTGCGAAGATGCCTGAATTTTCAGTTTTGACTCAAATGTATAAAATTTTCCACCAATGTCCTTTTTACAGGGTACTCCTCCCTTGCAATTGAATAGTGAATCACTGGCTTAAACTTTCCCCCCAGTTTTGTTTTATTATGCTAATGCAGCGAGCGCTGAGGTAACCCCACCTGCCGCGTAGTCATGTGTGTTGATTGGCGCCTTCCACCTCGTAAACCCCATACGTGCGCCCCCCAAAGCACACTTTCCGAAAAGGGGGAAGTTTTGGGGTAGGTTTGTATGTCTGCTGGGCGGTTTGTATGTGGAACAATAGAGACTTGTAGCAACTGAAAGCGGAAAGCAGAAAACTGTGCCAGCGAGTGCATTTGTGTAATGCCTTCTAAGCGGCATTAGACTAAGCCAAAAACTTTGATGGCGAAGCCAATAGCGAACACCTTGTAAAATATTAAAAGGACGCTGGCGGAAAACAAACAAAAATGCTGCGCAAAATTTAAGAGCACGTCAAACGACGGGGTCGTTTGCCTGGGAACTTCAGCAGACTGTAAAATGAAATAATTATGAGCGATAAATTTGCCGCCGTCTTGTGTAAAAAACTGTCGCTAAAAGCGTTGAGATGGTGGCATATCGTCTGCGTTGATAATGAGCCGTAAGATGGAGGCCGGTTGTTCAGGCAACCTCGTCAACGTCGTCGTCGTCCAAACGAAAAACACAGGCAATTATGCAGGGCAAAAAAAAAAAGGAAAGACAGATGAGATTCAGAATTTCTAATTGGATCGATTCGAATGGCTTCGGCGGTCCATTAAAAATTCACAAGAATCTCGCTTTGCGCCAGGGCTAATTCAATTTAAAGGCCTCATCCCCATCCCCTTCCCCATTCTCAGCCGAAAACTCCTGCGGATCGAGCTCATATTTTATCGGGGCTGTCGTCTGGCTGCAGTTGCACGTGCCAATCCACTCCGGCGGAGTCTGGAGACCCCCGATCCACCGACCCCGTCCGGATAGCACTTTTATCGGAGCGCGTAAATTTCAACACGGACGACAACGCCTCACAGCACAGATTTATTTTATTTACAGCGGCCAAAGGAAAGGCTGTTTGCCGGCTGGCTCCCCCTTTAATATAATTTCAATTATCGCCTGTTGGCTGCTGGCCATAAATTAAGTTAAAATCTGAGACGCTGCAGGTTGCGCTGATTGCATGTGAAAAATATTCCCTTTTTGCCGTGGTCCTTTTAATTAAGTGCAAATGCAAAAGTTATGAACTCGAGTTTTGGGGCATTTGCGTAACTTTTCTATCTCTCCTTCCGCATATTGAACACTTTGAGGCCGATTATCTGGGCACACAAATTTCATTCGATCCGAAAACTTTTGGCAATACCCAAAAAAACAAAGCGAACAAATTGTCATTTTCCTCACTGAGCGGAGCAAAAGTCCAAACTTTGGCTGGAGCAGCAGCAGCAACAACAAGAAGTGACTGCTAACAAACGGAAACAAACAGCTGCATTAGCAGCCGCAAATCAGCAGCAATCACAGCAAACAAAGTTGAGCGCACTCACTTAAAAATTCCAAACACAAAGCGGAAATATGCAAAAGCTTGGACTAGCAATAAACAAAACAAAAAACAGGATAAAGTACAAAGTTGAGTGATCGAGACATGAAATACCCTTGGAGGTTGACATTTTAGTTTAGCTTTCCAAATTACAAATTATAAAGTTTTCCAAATAAAATAACTGTCCTAAATTATTATAAAATATTGGCTAAATTCATTTTTAAACATTTTTTGATTTATAAGGGATAATTAAAAACATAAAATAAGAGTGGACAGTCAACAGTGCGTATAAGTGATATTGTATTTTTTTCTATTTAAAGAACTGTTAGCCTTAAAGATACAACTAAAATTCCACGGGCAAGACAATAAAATGCAATGAAAGTTTTATAGATTTTTAATAAATTACGGATAATTTTTTTTAAAGAGTTTTACATTTAACGAAAGTATTGCATTCATTAATTTGTATTTAAAATTTACTAAAAACTTTGAGAACACTTTTGGGTTGACATTTAGTAATTGAGTTTAGGCCTCTAAAGAGAAATATAACTAAAACACCTATAGAAAGGGCATGATACCCCTGGAACGAGAGAAACGACAACGGAAATGACATAGCCGCCATGTTGGCCAACTTGTTGTTACCGCTGTCTGTGGATGTGACTGAGAATGCAATCGTTCTGGTTGTTGCTACTCTTGGTTTCTTGCTTGGCTTTGCTTGTTTGTCGCTCTGAAACGAGCTGTTAACGAGCAGAACAAGCCGTATTTGCAGCTGCAGGTGAGTTGGAGATGGGGCTAAGTGGAGCACAAGATGATGGCTGGGCAGGGGGATAAGAAGAAGGCCAAGAGAAATCGCTTACTTGGCTAAAGACTTTGCGCCATAAAACTTGGAGTGGGCAGGCGCATGCGAGTGGCCTGTAAGCGACGGCAAATTAGTGATAATGAATAATTTCCCACAGCGATAATTAAGGGCATCATTAAAAATGTTGCCGGCGACGAAATTGCGTTCGTCTAGCACTAAACGCTTTTCCAATTACCGCAGCATACAGGGCAGAAGTCATTTTCCGCTTGCATGTCCACAATCCCCCAATCCGCCCGCATTTCCGTGGCAAGTGCAGCAGATAGTGCCGCAAAACGAGCCCCCTTTCCCGTACTTCCGTACTCCCATCTCCTAACTCCCATCTCCTAACTCCCATCTCCTAGCTCCCGGGGAGATACATAGGTCCACTTTTCACTTTCCAGTTGGCCACTCGGCCGTGTCGCTTATCCATCCCAGCCCAACAATGCCAGTGGTCGATTTCAGGCTGCAAACTGCCGTCATATTTCTGCCATGGGAACGGCCACCGAGCACTGAGAAAAGCCTTTCTCAAACCATAAATTATTTGAATATGGAGTAAATTGATCAATCTAGTTACATATTTTATTCCGTCTAATTCTAGTAGCTTCTACTAGTAGACTAGTTCACGAAATCTATTAAGTACCAATCAATAATTATAAATAATAATATTTCTAATACTATTTTAAATTTGGTGTACGGCAAGTTATTGATAATGAATAATTTCACAATTTAAAATTTACCTAGATATGAACAATATTTTCGTTTATATATTCAAAGTGAAAATATAATGTCGGCTACTTTATAAATAAATTACTATTCTGTAACTGCCGCATTATTCATATTCTCCGCCGCGACTCTTCCCCCAGTGTACCCCACACTTCAGTTCCCCAGTCATGCGGGGTTTTTGTGGCTTTTGCGTGTCATGCAGCATGCGATTTTGATGTTTGCTGCGACACGTGCGCCCGAAACCCAAGGATGAAGTGGGTCACTCTCCGCCGAACTGCACAAACGGGCATCATTTTAATGGCCAAATTATTCGCTCATATCCATTCTATGGATCAGAAACTCCATCACCAAAGCACAGCCAGCGAAGGTGAGGCCAAAGGCCAGAACGAACAGAGCGCCGGCGATGTTGTGCACATCCAATGCCTGGGGAGCTCCCTTGACCTTGTGCCCATTCGCCAGATCCATCAGCACTTCCTGCTTCTTCTTGTCCATATACTTGTCAATGAACTGGGTGTGGGAGAAAAATTATATATTTTTCTAAAAAATAAATCTAAATAAAAAGAGCCTTTACCTCCAATTCCCAGTGGAAATAAAGACCCGTTTCTTGGCAGGTGCGAATGTGTTTATTCAACTCAGGCATTAAGATCCACCCACGTATCGAAACAGCCCTTGTATAATCAAAATACAAATCGTCATGCAAAACCTTTAAATAAAACAAATATTCAAATTATTTAAAAAGTTAGTAAAATTACAGATTTTACAATTCGATTTTCCAGCGCCTCTGTGGACACATAATCGCCCACAGAAAGCGATCCCGAGGACAATCGTTCGATTCCGAATCCGTAGTTGGGCATAAAACTGACATTGGCCAAGTAACTATAATCGTGCACCTCGAAGTTCCGGGCCAGAATCTGTTCCGTTTCCAGATCGGTACTCTGGATCGTATGCACCCAGATAATGGAGGGAGCTGCCCACTTCCACTGTGACTGGGCCCACTTCTCGATCGTATCCACGGGTGCCGAGTAGAAGGGAAAGGTTAGCATCGACTTCAGTTGACCACTGTAAATATTTTCCAGCGTGATTGTGGCGCAGAGAAGTGTAGCCAGGAAAAATCGCGGCGCAAATCGATCAAAACTGAAAAAAAAAGAATTTTTAGTAAGTGAAATAATATAAAATTTCAATATTTCTTTAGATTATTTTAAAATTCTAATATTAATATTAATTTTCTATAATTTTAAAACTACCTCAGAGGGGCAGACGGCTGCTGTATGAACAAAGCAAATATGTCCAGCATGGATTTCTCAAGCTTCCTGCCATGATAAAACTTCTCCTGATTTGCAGAAAACCCCAGACGATAACTCACATATTTCATAAAATACAAAAAGGTGCCGCAAATGGTTAAAGTGGCGATCAGCATTAGCCAAGTGAGGTCATTGAAGGGCATTATGTTAGTGCGCCAGCTTGGTAATGGTCTGAAAAGATAATACTTTAAATAAAGTTTACAAGTTTGATGAAGTTCAATGAAACTTACGCAGGAGCTGGCCCCAAAATGGTCACCGATGAACGAGCTATGGTATGAGAGGTCTCTGTGATTCCATCGTACCAATTGTAGATGCAGCCAATGGCCATTTCCACGCGCTGCTCGTATATGTCCCCCAACATTCCATCGCTCGATTCGTTATCGTAGATTCCACCCCAGTTGTCGGCACCATCTGTAAAGTAAAATAAAATCGAGCTATATTTACTTATAATTTTTAATAAGAATAAAAGAAACAATAGTAATTAAAAGGTAATATATTTTTTTTAAATTGTTAAAATCATTCTTTTTTGATAAATTTAATGATTTTTAGGATAATTTTATTCAAGACACAACAGCAGAGATTCCAAATATTATAAAATATTGTAAAGCTATTAAGAATTTAAAACATTTATTATAAAGTTGATATTATTTTGGTTTTTTATTTGTTAATTAATTATAAATTTAGTTATTCCTAAAGGCAATTCTAAGATGGTTATTAAGACTTACATGCCTCGACTCTCAGGTGACAATTGTGCACCTGGCAGAAGGTCTTCATCACATTGGCCTCGGCCCCGTCGAAGGTGAGCGAGCGGTTGGACTTCTGCGGATGAATGGGATCCACGTCGCCCTGGCCAGCGGGCTGCAATGGGTTAATGGTTATTGGTTAACTAAGGCGGGAACATTCAAGTGTCTGGGCTAATTTCGTTAATGGTCTTGTTGCTGCCACGCCCACCCCCCAACACCAACACCATTACAGACACTCACTCACACACACACACTCCATTCGGAACACAAAGTAACATTCAAATGGACATCGACACTTGGCTCGTCGGGCGGCAATTAAATGGAAACACGTAATTTAAATCAATGTTGGTCCTTTGCAGGATCCAAAGCCAAGCCCCAAACAAAACCACACTCACATGCTTGTGGCTGTTTGCCTATCTGTGAGGGTGTGTGCTGGTATTTGTGCTAGTGTTGGGCCATGGGTGTGCGTGTGTTTACAAATGTGCAAATGTCCTTAAGGCAAACAATTGAGTGCGAACAAAACTTTTGCCAAATGACAACAAAAGCGGGTTTTTTTTGCGCCCAATCTGTGGTTACAATGGGATAAAAAGATTTGAATGCAGTCGGAAAAAGTACCTGATTGGGGATGGATAATTAGGTTTTTAATTTAAGTACTAGAATTAAAGATATAGGTACTAAAACAAAAAAAATCCATAAAAAGTGTAGAAAAAATATTGTACAACTATATTATGGCAACCGAAATAACACCCTTACAAAATTCTAAAATTACTATTAATGTTAGAATAGAATAGATTGTATAAAAAACAAATGATGCAATATTTTAGCAATATTTTCTACATTTTTCCAATCCACTGTGCCTGTTTGCAGTAGGACAAATCATGGAGACGGCTCCTGACAACTCCCACCAGTGATTACCATGGACTGGGCACCGCAACACAACATGTGCTTACATTTTAGTTGCCGAAATCGTTGCCCACAACGACAACAAAGCCAAATAACTAAGCACCCACACCAACACCGCCGCCAAACACACACAAACACCAGCCATACATCGTACAAACATACACACGAATTTGGGCCAAAAGGAGCAACCACTGGACATTTATTCATGATGAGTTCGCACACTGAGCCCGACTAATGCAAAGACAACGATGTGAATGAGCCTGATGAAGATGAGGAGTCCTCACCAAACGGGGGGGTGTCAGGGGGGAGGGGGTGGTGTAGTTTGAGGGGAACAAAGACGACCAATTGGCTTTGCTTAATGTTGGGGTGCAAATCTCTGGCATTTGGGTAAAGCTGGCTGGCCATCAGAATGACTTAGAGAAAAACATACATACTTCACTTGTTTAAATGAAAAAGTCTTGCCAAACTAATATCAGAATTTAAAGAATATTTAATTAAAATTCTACAAAATATTTACAAAAATATATAAATAATATAGTACCAACAAACATGCACATTTTTTTAATTCCTAAATACTGTGCAATATTTTACAAAAATATTTTCTATTAACAAATTAAATTCGGCTTTCAAGAAATTATTGAAGATGTAAAAAGTGTTTAAATATTTATTTCAACACATGAAAAATAAAACCAATTTTTAGGGAACTTTTTCTCTCAGTGCGGCAACGGCAACAACAAACGATAAATATAAACTTAACCGGCAATTACTTACCACATAATTAGTAATCGTATATGGGACATAAGTAATGGAGCCAACGAGCAGGCTGCGGCGCTGCAGATTGAGCAGCTTGTTGGGATAAAGTTCGACCCGGTTGGCAAAAGTTTCGTTCGGCAAGAATGCGTCCAGGAGCAGGGCATCCAAATTACCAAAGGCACCGACAAACTTTTGTGTCCACAGCTCGAAATTGATGTCGCGGTAGGGCGAAGTGGTTGTCGTCCCTGTTGTCCCTGCTGTCAATGTTGTACCACCGATTCCGCCCACTCCAACGTCCTTGTTTCTCGTGTTTACCGATGCTCCCTCCATGCGCCTGGGGTCTGGTTGGGGTCCTGTTTTTGGTCCTGTTCCTGTTCCAGCCTCAGTTTCGATTCCAGGTCGCACCATCAGATGGTGGGGGTAGACTAAAGCGCATTACACCGATTTCCCGTTGTTGGACAAGCAGAAAAAACAAAAGGGCAGGGGAAATAAAAAAGGGGATAAGGGATTTAATTTAGAAATTGAGAGATAACGAATAAGGTTTACCTAAAATTGGGATACTATTTATAAAGGATACAATTTAGATTCAATAAAAAATAATTCTAATTTTTCCGTTTTTATATTATTTGATTTTTACACCAAATTTAGTATCATATCCTCCCGCCTTCCTGATTCCAGGGTATGTGACAATAGTAAGGCACCAACAAAAATCAAAACCCAAGCCCGAAAAAGGCCAAGTTTACAATTGAACAAGACGCTGTCGAGCGTTGAATTTATTGGCAAGTGCTAAAGTTTGATCAACTGGCCACGAATGTCCTGCGGCTGTTTCCCGTTTGCCAACCATGTTTACGCGGAAGTCTCCTCGTGTGGAGTCCCCTGTTTCAAGGGAAACTTTTCCCGTTTGTTTTCCCACTTGTTTTGCCACGCCCCCTTCGGCGGACCCCGAGGGAGGTGGCGAGAAGTCACCGCTTAAGCTAATAAATTGATGCTGAAGGGATTGCTTGAATAGGAATCGGAATTGGATGGAAGACAGGTCAGGACCACTCAATTCAAACGGGTTATCCGTTGTGTCTTCATTAGCAACTACGCATAAATATCCTGTACTCACACTGCAGTATAGGCATGCCCAGCAATTCCGCAGGGCTTTCGTCCTCGCACAGGAACAAATAACGCTTATCCTTGAGTCGCACATTTGCATTCCGAGTGGCATAGTACCTGGAATGAAGAAAGTGGTCTGTCTTCGACAAAATGGTGATAAATCCCTGCAGAAAGTAGCGTATTTATCAGTTTATAAATATTTTAAAATAAATTATTATACCTACCTCCGTAACACTGCTATTCAGAGCACCCATAACTTGATTCTCCAAGTCCTCCCGATCCTTCAATAGTGCCACATTAATCCATTGAAGGCGAACGGAGTGACTGATTTCCCGGAGAACTAATTCCAAGGACCCTAAATAATCCTGTTGAAGGGGTGTTGCCGATCCGGTATTATTGTAGACAATCAAAATGGATGAGAACCCAGCAAAATATTGACCAACTTGAAAGGAATTAGCTTAAGTGGGTTAAGAGACCTTAAACCGAATATCTTTACCTATAAGCCGGAGCAATTGGCTTAAATGCATCACCAGCGGTTGCAGCAACATCTCGGCTGCCTTTTGATTTCATTCCCCATGAATCCGGCTTTTATAGGACCGGCACTTAATGACTCTGCTTCGATTGGCCAGCAAATTGATTTAAACCCGGACTGTAATTGAAAACCTCCGGCAGGTCCTTTCATCGCAGACTGGAAATGGGCATTATTTGCTTAGACATTAGCCTAATGAAACGCACACAGCACATTACGATATTTGCATAATTCAGTAAACAAACAAGAGCATAACAAAGGGTGCCTCGGGTAAGTCAAGCGGAAAGCCTCAGTTTAGTTTAGTTATCCGTATAGTTAATAGTAGACAGCCCTCCGAAAGTCAGCTAAAGCATCTTTCAGTTGATTTATCAATTCTGAACACTGCGCAAAAGATGCAGGATAAGATCCTAGGGTAAATATGTTCTAGGGTAAACATTTTCAAGTAATTATGTAAAATTATTGGCAATATCACACTTGCTTAAATTTCAACCAACTAACTGTATTTATCAAGGAAACCAGGAATAAATATCTATTGTATGGCTATTGCCAAAATTTTTATTATAAAATGTCTTTATAAATTGTAACTTAAATTGATAAAATTCTATTTTTCCCATAAAAATATTATTAAAATACATTTAAAGGGTAATCATTCAGCTAGTCATGTTTTAGTTGTCTGGAATAATAAAACGAAATTATTTTAAGTAGAAGCGGAGTATAACTAAATAAATAAAAATTTATACCAAGCACATAAGTTACACCTTTTTTTTTTTAATATTTGTATACAAATAAATATATTTAAGTTTTACTGTTCCCATTTTTCGCAGTGATCTTTCTTAACCCCTGGCAGTGGGCCAATTAGCGGTGCCACAAATTAGCGGCAACAATGCGGCCAACGACTGACTTTCATTATGAATGCGAACAAAGCCCGGAACGAAGCGAAAGCTAAAGCCAAAGGTTCTCGGATAGTCGACAGAAACTGAGCCGGGAACAGGCCAAGTGTCAATTGGAACAATTCAATTGGTCTGCCAGCAAATTCGGTGGGACAGTGGGGCGTTGAGGAGGCAGGACGCAGGATGCAGGACGACGAAGTCGTCGACATCGCCGATGTGGGAACACAAATGGACAGTCGAGACAAGCAGACTACTGTGTGAATGTGAATGTGAGTGTGCGACTGTTGCGAGTGCTTAACCATTGGGTTATTTGAAATTGAAAGACAGATTAAAGGATTTGCTCCTGGCGAGCCAAAGCAGAGCCCGATGGAGCAATGGCCATAGCAGCCAACCAGCCAACCAGCCAGCCAGCCCGGGGAGTCCTGCTCTTGGTCCTGGTCATTTGAGTGCACAGCAGGCGGCGATTTTATTGCCTCGACAACCTGCTGGGATCCCCTCCACCCTTCCACCCAAAAAGAGCAAAAAAATCATAGCATCCACCCACACACACACACATGGCTCTGAACGAACGGCACTGAAGGGCAATTAAACACTCAAGCGGTGTGTTACCCCAGTCCGAGTTACTCGAAAGTCAATGGCATTAAAAATCCATGAAACGATATTTATCTTCTCGAACGCTTTTGCGGGGTGGCAATAAAGCGAACGATAAAGTGATTAAAGTTGAACTTGGTAAATCACGTTATGAAATTAGCTTTGGATTTTGGGGTTTACAAAATCTCTGAAGAAAATTTTTGTTACAGAAGGGGGAAAAGTGTCCTGAAAATTGCTTGTCTTTTTCAATTTTGAACTCCATTATTGGTTTAAATCTTATATGTATATATGGGGAATTTAAAGTTGGTTTTAAAGAAGAAAGTTTCTATTTATCCTTAAAATTTTAAATTAACTTATAAAGGTGCTTAAAAGTATGCAACAACATATTTTGAAGAAAAAGACCTTAAGATAAATTTCTTAATAATTTCTGTTGCACTCCCCTATATTTTTTAAGCAATACCTTTTATCTCCCTGTTACATTTCCACGTCGCTAAGGGCTAAAATAACAATGAAAACCCTTCTGAATTCGCAGCGCCTTGAAGTATGCAACACTAATCAAGACACAAATGCAGATTTGTGCGATTACGTGTTTGTCTGCGTGTGCGTGTCTGTCCGCAGAAATGGAATTTACACGCCTCGCACACGCACACAGGCACACGCAACTATCATGATGGTCATCCCGAAGAGAAAGGGGAAGAACCGCAGGCGGGCTGACCAGCAAACCGACCGCAATGTGGCCCACAAGCTGCAGAAGTGGCCCAAACACTCTCACACACACACTGGCAACATATGGCCAAAAACTGAAAAGGTTTACGGTTCTGTGAGAGTGTGAGTGAGTGCGTGGCGCATTTTTAGCTAAAGTTTTTTTAAATTCTTTTCCTCTTCTGGCGTCTGCCGTCTGCCGTCTGTGGCTTAGAGTTCTGTGTTATGCTTTCATCTGGTGCCTGCTGGCGGGCAATTTGCCTAGACCGAATTGCACTTGCATGCTAATGAAAAGTGCTCGCCGCAGCAGGAACTTTAAATTGCCTGCAATGTTAAAGCCAAATTACCCCCTAGTATGTATAAGCATATTTTTTTCTCCCTCCCATCCATTTGCATTTAAATAATAATAATAACAACGGCGAGTTGCGAGGGGCGCGGCAATCAAGGATCGCGGCTGCATTAATGAATAGCGAAACAAGGCAATGTCCTTGAAATCCCTGGCAGCCAACTAAACAATGGCAACATGAAGCCCTCCTCTTCTTCGGCTTAGTAAATCGTGCCACTTCATTATGGCCCATGGCAGCTCGAGCTGCGAAGGGAATAAGCCATGCAAATGAGTTTTCCCTTTTCACCACGACTCTTACTTTCATTTTCTCATTTTCCTCGCCAGCTGACTAACAATGCGATGTGATCAATAATTGTGGCTGAGCCAGAAACGATTGAGATGGAATTTAATATGTCAAAGGAAGGCTGAAACTTAAATACATGTATCTGAAAATGACATAAACATTTCAGAGATATCTAGTATCAATTCCAGGGAAATCTGTGAGTGAATTTTGAGATGCAGATGTTGCATAACATTTATGCCCAATTAATTATTCAATGTTCATTAATTCCCGGCATACATGGCGTATACTTGTTATTTCTTAGCTGAGTCCCTGGATAACAATGAGCTTTATGTTTTCACTTGAGTTTACCTATTAATTAGGGGTATGACTTTAAATAACTGGAATATTCTCACAGGAACTTTTTGCCCAAACTAATTCTAGGAAATGTCACTTAAAATTATTATTATTTATTCAAAATCTATCTTATTTGCTTTTCCTATTCTTATAGCATAATCAAATGTCGCTTTCTTAACCTTATACAGATTTATTCCTTTGGAAATTAATGCAATCCCAGTCCGTCACCTGCTGGGAACTCAATGCCCGAGTCAGAAACAATTACGCACAGCTCATCAAGTGCCCGGCACACACTGCGTATGCTTGATAACCATTTGTGACATCTGACGGTATCTGACAAGCATCCGACAAGCTCTGCAAGATTCCTCTGTCAGTTGATGGGAATGTGTAAATATTTGCATGGTAATTAGCCAGGACATCAGTTTCACTACACTACACTGCATTAGTAGTCGTTGTCCTTGAAATTCTCATTTGCTGCTGCTGCGTTTGCCTTTGCTAGGTGGAAAATGTTTTCCCTATAACACTTTGTTGCCGCACAATTATGCAGATTGCCACTGCAGTAATGTGATGAGTGTGGTGGGTGAAAATGGTTGGGAATGGGAAGTCGAAAGTTTGCGCAAACATTTGCCATTTGGTCGAGGCCAGGCCCCCTGGAGCTTGGCTCATATTTGTGTTTGCCATTTTCGGGGTATTGAAAATTGCAATTTTTTCATGATTTGTAAACAATTTGAAGAGGCAGTCTGCGTTTTCTTCATACGTTTCTTTTTTTATTTACCCAAAACCTCCTCTTCGAGTTTGAGGCAAACACTCGAGCGTGTAAATGCACACACACGAAAGAAAAAATATAAAGCTTGTGAAACTAAAATAGAAACACATTTCATTTCCGTAAGATCTGGCAGAGTGGAAAAGGAAAATGTGCTGCACTTCGGGGGGCAAAAGGGGGCGGAGAGGAGAACAACTGGCAAACAACAAGAAAGTGGAAATAAACTTGGCGATAAACCAACGAAATCGATTGGAAATATTTTAACGAAATTGCAGCTTAAAGTGTCAAGGCAGCATGTCGGTTGCTGCCAAAGTGGGTGGCATTTTCCGGGAGGTGGCAGGGGCAACAATCATTTCCACTGACGTTAAGATGAGTGTTCGTTGCGATGATTCGGCTGTCGATGTCGATGATTATGAGGCTGCAGCTGCCAAATGTTGCTGTTGGGTATTTAGATAATACCGCCCATCCACTTAGCAAGTCCTCCCTCTAGCCACAGTGAAACTTCAGTGTTTTATAGCTTTATCTGTCTATTTCGGTAACTTTAAATGTCTTATAAATCATTTTGAAAATAGAGGGTTTAGAATCTGATTTTAGTAGCTTGATATAGTGATATAGATAATATAGTGATATAGATAATATAGTGATGGATATAGGAAATTAATTGGTACTGGAGGTCTATTTTAAATAACTAAACTTATAAATTCACTTATAAAAGTGTTTAAAAGTATGCAATGAAAAAACAATCTCTTTCGTATAAAAGTATATTATAATGTTGCATACCTTTAGCCACCTTTCAAAGTCTTATTGGTTTCTGTGGATCATTATGCTACAATATAATTATTTTTAGTGATATATATATATAATGTAGAGATGGAAATTAATTGGTACTGGAAGTCTCTTTGAAATAACTAAAATTATAAATTCACTTATAAAAGTGTCTAAAAGTATGCAATGAAAAAACAATTTGTTTCGGATAAAATTATAATATAATGTTGCGTACTTTTAGTCACCTTTCAAAAGTCAAAGTCTTATGGGTTTCTTTGGATCACTTATTGCAATTAAATTATTTTTCATTTAGAAGGAAAAAACGTAATTTAAATTATCTAATATTTTTTGAAACAAAATAACGCTTTACTTAAGGAGGTTGCCCTGTCTCTGTATCTCTCGAGAGTGCAGTTCAAGTGAAGCGCAACGGCAAAGAAACAGTTTAAATGCTAACAATGCAACGGTTTCGGGTCAAGTATTTCCATCTTTCCCCGCTTTCCGCAGCCCGTTTTCCCTGCAACGGAAACGAAGTGTAATGAAAGCGTGTAAAGTGCAAATCGAAAAGGCAATACAAGTAACGAGTACAAAATACTTGTGCCCCTCCGCCCCACCCCCGAAAACCCCCTTCTTGGCCCCCGGAATTTTCTCTAAATTACCAATGTCGGAACTCAGCCAGGACGATAAGGATAAGGGGCTGGGAAAGTTGGTTAGGTAGGTGCCCGGACACATCCTGCCAGCAGGCGAAGCAGGTGAAACGAAAGAAACAGGCTGAGGAAATGTTTCGCAAAATGCAAGTTTCTTTCACGCTCCAAATGGGTTTTCCCATTTCTGTTGTGTGAAATTATAACTTTAATTAAGCGCATTTAATTTGGCTGCCTTTTCGGTGCCGAGCTGCATCCTAATGCCTTGACTTAGCTCGGCGGGAATCGTTGGTTACTTTAAGCCTAAACAGATTTCCATATTTCATTAGCATTTGCCGACCGCAAAAACCGCCAGCGAATTAAATATTGATAATTGTTTTTTCCCCCAATCCGATTGCTATCTGTTTGAATTTAAATATATGGGCACTGTATATATATGTGGGCAATTACATAATCCAGTGACAGAAAAGAGTTTTGTTGTCCGTTGTGCTTTTGGAAATTTATTGCATATTTTGGCGCAGGCTGCGAACTCGCCCGGGAAATGCCCGGGGCTTAGAACTAACAATTCAAAATGAATTTAAAGCCGCCGAGGCGATGGCCAAAAGCGGGCCAAATGAAAAATTTCAATTAACCACAGAAACCGATGGCCAACCAAATCGAACCGAAAACACAACGGGAAAAGCGACCAATGCCGGAAAAAGGAAAATAGAAAAAATATTGTCCACTGCCAACCATTTTGGCTAAATCATTTTCCTCTCTTTCTATCTGTTTGAGCAGTAGTTTTTCCTGCCGTTGCAGGGACCTCCTGACCAAATCCTTTTGTCGCCGAGCTCTGTGCGTCCTGGGCCACAATTAAATGCACTCGACAATGCACCTGACGGACCCCCGAAATCGGGGCTACGGCACTAACCACATATATTCGCATCCGTATCCGCATCCGTTCATTTATTCATTGAAGATTGGCTTTGGCCAATCAATTGGCCATGGACCCGTTTTTGCCAGGACGGAAAATCAATGCAACCTGCGGTCCGAAAACCAGCGAAATCAATGCGAATTATTTGGTTTTCCAATTCGTTACACTTCATTAATGGCAATCCCTAAACTCGTTTTGTTTTTGGCGCCCCCGGATAAGAAATATGATGGGGGCAGCGATTTCGAGCATAATTCTATTTGGGCAAAACACTCGAGTGGACACTCGTATTCGGTTTATTGTTCATCATATCGACATCAATTGGGGAATTTGCCGGGACCGCAGCGGAAATTTATTTTATACATGCGAGCCCCACCGCAGCTCATTTGGAGCCACGAAAACCGCCAATTTGGATTCGTGCGGCAAGCAGCATTTCAAATCGCACTTTAATTTTGCGTATGTATGGGGAATGGGGTTTTTCTACACATACCACACTCAATCGTTTTTGGAGCATTGTGTTGACAAAGATGTGAATAAAAATTTATGCTCACAAAAGTATGGTATACAACATGCTCGTAAAATGATTATGACGATTATGCTGGAGCCCAGCAACTGCTGCTGGATGTTTCATAAATGCAAACGGTCACATAAGAGCACCCTTTACAAACAATCCTGGTCACACTTTTTAATCTTTCTGTTTTATTATTTTCTGCATAATCATGTTATAAATAATATGATATTACCCACATAATAAATATAAATATATAAACTTTAATATTTTAATCTTTTTACAGGTAAAATAACTTATTTAAAATTTAAGTTTTCTAAATATTGGGTATTTTAAGTTACTCATTTAAGTTTCTATATTTTTGAAATAAATCCCACTTTTTTGTCCCCTGCTGTAGGCAATCCCCACTTGCTTGCTCCCACATTTATTGACACAAATTGCGTTTTGAGAACGGCACTTGGCAGCCGTCGTGGCAGCTCCTTCTGCTTTTCTTTTTATTAAAGCAATAATAAAATATTCATAAAGATTCCGTTTATGCCACGATAACAACGCATATATTTTAGAATAAACGGGCATTAAATAGGTTTGTGGCTGGCGCCTACGCAATCGATGGCGATCCCTGCTTTATTAGCCTCGCCTGAGTTATTTGCGGTCGGGGTTTATGCCTCCTTTAAACTGTGTTTTGGGCTTTGTGTTTTGGGGCTCAATCAATTCCCCGGCAAGCTGTGCGCCACACAATCATGTCAAGAATTCAATATCAAAGCGCGAGCGCAGCTGTCGCTGATGACATCGGGGAATGTCCACGATTTCATCAACCCCCCGCCTTTCTTTCAATGCCATTGATGAACAGGCTCATAGCGAGTGGGTGGGCGGGGTGGTAAGGAGGTGGGGTGCCTGGGTGGAAAGCATCGCATTTTGATTACAAATATGAAACATGTTCACACAAATATGACCTGCCCCTTCGGTTCCCACACACTCAGTTTCCTCGATGGCGTGTGTATGGAGTGCACTTAATGGCGTTCCGCATTTGTCGGCAAGGGGGGAGTGGAAGTCAAGTTAATATTGAGCCAACTTGAGTCAATTTTGACTGAGTGGGCCAAAGCACACAAAGCTAAAAAGTATACAGGATCTAACTGTTAAGATAGAATACTGGAATACCAAATAATAGATTCGATATTTTTAGAATTAAGGATATTGTCGAGGATTAACGACAGAATTACTAAAATATAATTTTTAAGCTTACTAAAATATAACTTTTAAGCTTAACATTTATAAAGGAAACAATTATATTTATGTTTGTAAAGAAAACAAGCAATTTATTTTTATTCAAGAGTTATTTATGAAGTTTAAAATGTTTCTTTAACCTAAATTATTAAATAATAAGTATTGTTAAAAAAAAATAGTTTGCTTAAATAAAGTGAAAAAAAATTGTTATAAATCTAGAAGTTTTTGGCATTAAAACCGACTTTCGAATTGATAACGTAAAAACTGTTTAGCAGGTTTGTAAAGTCATTTTAGTTTCCCATACTTGTTTTAAAACATCTTAAGTAAGTTATTAAATAACATAAATTATGATGCTTATAGCATATTAGAGCTTTGCGAACAGAATCTTACATCCATATTTGCTAAGAATTTTCGCAAGTGCAGCCACACATTCGCTGAGACGGCAACACTCGGGAAAATTGCAAATAGACAAGATCTTAGGCCATTAGCTTTAATTGCCAAACTTCTGGGAGGCAGGAGCAAGGGCAATTGCCGTGGCAGCTGCAACTGCAACTGCTGCTGCAACAAATTGCGTGGCTATCAATATTTCCGTGGCTGCATTTGATTTCCTAATGCATCCGATGCAGCGGGGCAGGTCCTCGGAAAGCCTTCAAACCATCCTCCCTGTTGTCGTCGATTAACAATATCCGCTCGCCTGCCCCGCCAGGAGTTCACCCGCTGGCCCGGTTGGGAGCTTGGTTTTAATTAGTCCTGCCCGTACGTATTTTCTATTGGCCAATTCACCGCAGAAGCTTCATTACCCGACTGCCGTGTGTGTGTCTCTTTCGCTTTGTGCGTGTGTATTTCAGCAGGACAGATTGCGAGTCATTAAGTTGATGCAGCAGCAGCAGGAGGAGCAGGAGCAACATCGGTGTAAGCCACACAAACAGGCAGTTAGAATGCCACATGCCACGCCCACAACAGCGGTCGAGCTGTAACTGAATCGGAATCAGAAACAGAATCAGTATCAGCACCAGAATCCGAATCCGAATCACAACAGAAAACGAAACAGAAAACATGTCGAGAGTTAACCTTTGTTGGCGGTTGCAGCTTTTTGTGCGCCGGAAACGGCAGAGCAACTCAATCAGTTTTTGCGGTTTATGGCGGTGGTGGTGGCCCGGCCAAAAGGGACACGCTAATGGCTCACAAATGGCACTTGAATAATTGAATGCCGGAAGCGGAGGAGCGGTATTAGCCAGGAAATGACTGCACATGGCATTGTCCGTTTTATACACGTAAGTACATGTAAGGAAATTGCACACTTTAAACTACAAATTAACTAAGAAACGTACTAACTAAGCATCTTTTTTGGCCTGACTGCCGGAAGCCTCCTCCTGCAGCTCCGCTTTCTTTTGACCAGCATTCAGTTTCTCCTTTTCGCTAGTAATGAGCTGCTGCAGTTCATCCTCCCAGCCCAGAGCTTTGGCCAGAGTTAAAACACCTTCATCGCAGTCGCCCAAGAAGGCCACATCCCTCGTGTTGTTGGGCTTATCAAACAGCAGCGATCGCTCGTGGGGATCCATCCAGGGCACAAAACTCGCCTGACCCACTGCATCGCGATTGATGAGCAGACGCAGGCAGCGTGGTCCCGGTCGTTGGACCAGAGAAGCAAACGGTTGCACCTCCAGCGAAGTGCCCATGATAATCAGCAGATCGCAGTCCTGGAAATCCTCATCGGGACTGGAGTAAAACCTCTCCGGCAAATTCTCGCCAAAGAACACAATGTCTGGCTTGACCACGCCCTTGCAATCCTTGCATTTGGGCAGACGATCGGCAAAGATCTCCGCCTTCATCCAGGCCATGTCGTTCTCCTTGCGGCACTTTATGCAATGGTTGGTGTGGAAGCTGCCGTGTGCCTCGATGATCTTCTCCTCGGGCAGACCGGTCAGTCGGTCCAAAGTGTCGATATTCTGGGTGTAGTGACGCTGCAGCAGACCCTTGTCGTTCAGCAGGCGGACAAAGTAGTGGGCCGGCGTGGGAATAAAGGAGCCCGGGTAGAGCTCCTTGGCCAAAGCAAAGAACGGAGCCGGGTTCTTTTCGAAGTAGTCCAGATCGAAGATGGCCGTGGGATGCGGCAGCTTGTACTTCTTCAGGTTGCTATAGAGCCCGGAACCGGGTGACCTAAAGTCCGGAATGCCAGCAGCTTAAGAAAGGTACTTAGTATAGGTTTTAGAGATATAAATTGATTTACTCACAAGTGGAAATGCCGGCTCCCACCATGGTCACAATCTTCCGGAAGTCATGCGAACGCCAATGCTCCGCAAAGCCCTCGAACGACAAGTCCGGTATTACCTGGTAAAACAGAGATGATATGCGGCTTAATCAAGATGATAATTGAATTATCAGGCGCTCCGCTCACCTTCTCCACTTTGAGGTCTGCCTTGGCGTCCGTGGAGCCACCCAGATTGAGAGTGTGTGCAAAGAAGCGACGAATCATATCCATTGTGGGGTCTGGAAGTCGAATCTGGTTAGTAGGTGACAGTAAACAGCTCAGTTGTTAGATTATACAAACCTTGTCCCTGCTCTTCGTCACTGGATGAGGAACTCGAATCCGTCCGTGGTTTCTCCACCTTCTGCTCACTGTCGCTCATGGCTGGGATTATCCTGGATCTCGGGAGGTGAAAGTATCTAAAACTACGTATTATCCTAGAAACCCCCGTTGTTTTGGTTTTTTGTTTTCCTTTCACGCAAAAAAACAAAACACGCCGTGCAACCAGTGCTGGCAACTATCGATAACAAAAAAAGGTCACCTCAAGCTATAAAATAGCTAGATTTTGAGATTATATTTATTACATGATAATTTTTTTTTTTTTTGAAAATATGCGTACAAATTTACTTTAGTATTTTTTTTAGAGCTTAATTTAAATCGGGTATTGTTTTCTTTTGTATAAAGTTTTGTAACTGCAAGTAGTTAGCAGAAAAACAATCAAATAATCGTTATACTTGAGTTTTTATTGATAAAATTGCCAACAGAACTTTCAACAAACTAAGCAAATAACAAAAAATTAAAATTTTCACCGACTAAAACTAATCTAAATTAATAAAAATAAAATAATTCTCGCCGGCAAAAAAAGCTAGATTGCCACCAGTGAGTGCACAACCTATCCGATAACTGTTATCGGCGCACCCAGCGATATGCCTTTCAGCGCCTGCAACCCTGGCTGGCCGTTGGCCGATTACTCGATGTCCGCTGGTAGAGCAAAAAATCGGTTGGCAGCGCCTTCGCCCAGCCCTGGAAAACCACGCCAGTCATTTTTGTTTTGATAAGGATACGGATACAAAAAGAGCGTGGCGTGGAAAAACTGCATAAACGGCGGAGAAAGCGCCCCAAAACCGAGCGAAAGCGTTGCAAACTGAACGTAGGGCTTTGCGCGACAAACTGGCCGCCCATTCGAGCATCCCCAGGCGCTACGTGGAAGCGTAGGCAGCGTGTGGAGTGGAAGAAGAGGAGGCGCCTGCAGAGAAGAAGAAGAAGCAGCAGCAGCAGTGGAAGTACACAGAAGTGCAAACCAGACGGCTAAAATAACAAATCAAAAAGGGGGCCCGAAAAAGGAGCGACAGAGGGGGCGGGGAATGGCCGAGTGTCGTCGGTGGCTGCCATTGTATAACGCCGATGGGCAGACTGTAGATCCGCGCTAGGATCCCCCCAAAAAACTCGAATACCATGCATCTGAACCATGCGACCGCCGCGACGGCAGCGATGGCCAACTATCAGCACTACCAGCTGCCAGCTTCCCATGGCGGCGGGGGAGGGGGCGGCGGAGGAGGTGGCGGCGGTGGAGGAGCCAATGGAGGATCTGGACCTGGACCCAATTCCGGGCAGCAGCAGCAGCAGGCCACCACCTTGGCCAGCCTGCAGCAGAGCCCCTTCGCCCTGCACCAACTGACCGCCGTGCAGGCCATCCAGCATCCCACCCACCAAGCCATGCTCCATCCACAGCATCCGCTGGTCCATCTCCTGGACATATCCACCACAAACGCAAATAGTGGCAGTGGAGGCGGCGGTAATCACACGCCCATTTCGCCCATGAAACAGGAGGTGCAGAGCGTCATTAGCGAGGAGGAGGTGGTCGTCGATGATCCGCGCAAGAAGAAACAGTGCCACGTGTGCAAGAACAAGTTCCGGCAGCTGACCACGTTACGCAACCACATGAAGATCCACACGGACGAGCGGCCCTACAAGTGCAAGCACTGCGACAAGGCCTTCCGCCAGATCTCGACGCTGACCAACCACGTGAAGATCCACACCGGCGAGAAGCCGTTCACCTGCAACATCTGCGCCAAGGACTTTCGCCAGCAGAGCACCTTGATCAATCACATCAAGACGCACAAGGGTGAGTTTGGTTGCTTTGATTCTCTCACTGATTTAACTGATACATTTCTCTGTTCCCGGTAACAGCGGCCGAGTCCAGCACGCCGACGTCCCTGCTGAACTATCAGCCGCAGACAACGGGCAAACACAGGAAGTCGCAGATGCACCAGGCCTACCAGCCGCAGCAGCATCAGCGCGTCCAAATCTCAAAGACCCTCTACTCCGGCAGCTACAGCTCGCCGGCGGCCGAGGAGCTGGTCAAGCCGTTCCAGTGCAGCGTCTGCAAGCGACGCTTCCCGCAGCTCAGTACGCTGCACAACCACGAGCGGACCCACATCGATCCCAAGCCCTACAAGTGCGAGACGTGCGACAAGTCCTTCAGCCAGCTGGCGACGCTGGCCAACCACAAGAAGATCCACACGGGCGACAAGCCGTACACGTGTTCCTACTGCCACATGCAGTTCCGCCAGCAGAGCACTTTGACCAACCACCTCAAGACGCACACGCACCAATTGGGGGCGCCTGGTGGAGCAGCAGGAGGAGCAGGAGGCGGCGGTGGAGGAGCCGTCACAGCCACAGGTGAGCCGCTTGTGTGTTCGCCCTACCAATGAGCCGCTTTCTGTTATCACTGTGTGCATTGATTATTAACGCTCTTCCCTAACGAAGCTTTTATTTAAATCTTGTACGCATGCCAATTTCGTCAAACCAACAATCAACTTTAACCCCCCGCAGTGGATCACTCAATGCCCGCACCTCTGGCGCCCGGAACGCAGCAGCTGACGAGCGGTCTGCTGCCGAACAACCTGCACGGCAGCACGCCGAACATCATCCAACTGGACCACCATCCGCTACTGCATTTCCTCGATGGCAGCACCACGGTCAGCTCGGTGGTGGCCACGGCGGCGGCGGCGGCCAATACCAAGGTGGAGCATTTCCAGACGGGCAGTTCGCCGCCGGGCCGAATGACCGTCGTCGGGAACATCAACATGCTGAAGGGCGACAATCCGGATCGGCCGTTTGGGTGCAGCGTTTGCCAGCGATTCTTCTCGCAGCAGAGCACGCTGGTCAATCACATCAAGACGCACACCGGCGAGAAGCCGTACAAGTGCAAGATCTGCGAGGTCAACTTCCGGCAGGTGGCCACGCTGAACAACCACATGAAGATCCACACCGGCGAGAAGCCCTACAACTGTTCCTACTGCCCCAAGCAGTTCCGGCAAAAGAGCACGCTGCAGAACCACCTGAGGGTGCACACCTGTTAGACTCACTCCAGATCCAGATCGAGATCGCCATGCGATTCAGGTCCGCAGCCAGCCAGCCAGTCAAGCAGCCAAGCAGCCATTGAGGAATAGTGCAATATGCATGCCACATAGCACATACACTTATTGTTCGCATATACGGCATACGAATACGATTACATGAATACTATATTTGAATATATACTCGAAAGTGTTATTTACCTGCTGTGCAGAGCGCAATTGTATGTAACTATATCGTAGAGAGCTGATCCACATGCGTGTCCAATTGTAAATTAAGGCTAGCCGTATTCGCGTAAGCCACGAATAATAAGATACAGGGTGTTTAAACTCTAAACTACGTAGGATGGGTCGATTTGAGTCGGTGCATTAAAGTTATCTAAGCCATTTAGTCTGAATCATATATATATTTTATATTATCATTAAATTTCTTAAAAATTCTAATTGCAGACCATTTGAACATGTAAATTAAACATTGGTATAAATCTGATAAATATTTGAAAAACAAATAACACAATTTGTTTATCTTTAAGTTAAACATGACATAGTTCATTCAACTTTTATATCTGTTTTGTTGTGAGATATACTTTCTTTTGATACAACACTAATATTTCCTTTACAAGGAACTTGTTTTATAGAAAGAAAACGATACTTTTAATTAAATTAATATGTTTTTAATAATGGCACAGAATGGCCAACCAGATTTCTTTAGCACCGATACTTCTTTCTACATCAAATCGATCCACACTAAAGCTATCCCCCCTCAGCAACTGTTGCCACCCCATCCATACCCACAGTCCCCCGATCCCTAAAAATTAGTTCCGAGTATCGGCTTATCTCAGCTTTTCTCGTCGTGTTAAATGTTAAGCCCGCCAGCAAAGTAAAGTAAATTAATTAAAAGTAAAACTAGTTATTGCTATACTGTGTGTGTAACCCCCGCCCGCTCTAAACTTACATTAGGCGTCATCGGAACCGAACGGAAATCGAAAGAAGCAACTATTCATATAAGTGTACTCTTAGCGCATATTTAGCAGCATCTTCTACTCACATGACTACAAGCGAAATAATCAATAATACATTTAATGAAAACCGGGTTGCTTATAGAACAAAAACTTAGAAAACGGAGAGACAAGAGTCCCTAAATTAAGTGAATCGATGAGAGGCGGAGGAGGAGGAAACAAGTAAAACCAGCTATAATTGAATTGACAGAGATCGATCGTAAATGTTGTAGAGAATATATAGTATATATACAAATATATATAACTACTTGTAAATGTAAGCGAAGCGAAGAGCTGAAACAACAATAAAACATGCAAAACATAAACTTACTGTTTAGTTTTTAATAATTTCCTACTATTGGGTTATCTTATCCAGATGAAACCACTGTAAACCAGAAGAAAACTCTCTTGTTTTGATTTGAAAAAGGGGAATTTATTAAGTTTTCAAGGTATGCAGGTATTGGGAAAAGGAAAAACAGTTCGTGTATAAGAGATACTAAAAGTAATTACTATAAGCACTTTTTGCATTAAATCTCTAAGGTATGTTGCACTGTCTACAAGTGGTGTTTCAAAGGGCAGAGAGCCTCGCGAGCATTGTTTGTTCGTAATTCACCCCCAAATCGTGTCATTTAGTATTCACCTGTCAATAAAGGGGAAACGGAAAAGCGAACTAGCTAAATAGTAGCATTGGTTAAATTGGAATTTTTACGAAATCCGGTGCATCTACTCGTACGTATGTGTATATTTATGTATATATATCCGACATCCTAACCTACCCAGCGGGTTGTCTAACTTGAGTAAAGAGTTTCCAGGGGTAAATGGGGGAAAAGAGACTTGCACATGGACGTTAACACTTAATCTTATATATATAGTTCGTGATTAGACTTTCTCACAACGGATGTTCTGGCCACGCTCCTCAGTTGGGAGGTTTAAATCTCTGGCAGCGTGCGAAGGCATTTGAGTAGGACCAAATGTACAATTCAGTAAAGCATATACGTTGTCTGTACTCTAGGGTGTATATATATATATGTTATTTATAGGTTGACCAAAACTTTTCTTAATCCTAAACGAAGTGACACCACTCTACTTGAACAGCCACCGCAGGATCAGGCTGAAGGTGAGCCCGATCAGGGCGTAGACGAGCGACTTGATCACCGTGGACTGAGAGACGCCGCCGCCCAGCAAGTGATGCGAATGCACGCTCACATTGCTCGGCGAGGGCGCGTACTGCATGCGCTCCAGGCGCTGGCTGATCTCGTTCAGCTGCCGGGTGTGCAGCTCCAGCACCCGGTTCACCTGGTCCACAGCCAGGGCGAGTCTGCAGGAGAATAAAATTCGAATTATTAATAAGAAGGGAAGCTATACGAGCTATATACAATAAAAACCAAAGAAGCTAAAATTTATTTCCTATTATTTTCCCATTAATTTTCCGATCGTTCCTATGGCAGCTATATGATATAGTCGTCCGAGATTTAAATATTTAATTCGAAATTCAGAAATATTTAAAAAATAATATTCCCAAGAGTAGAAGGTAATATTTCAAAAAACACCAAAGCTAGAATTTTGTTTAACTTTTTTCTCCGATCCTTCCTATGGGAGCTATAAGATATAGTTCCGACTTATATACTACCTGCAATAGAAAGAAGACTTTTGGGAAAGTTTCAAGCCGATAGCTTTTAGTTTGCGTAGAAACGGACAGACGGACGGACATGGCTAGATCGACTTTACTTTATGGGTTCGAAAACGGCTCCTTGCAAACTTCTGACTGAAACCATAATACCCTCTGCAAGGGTATAATAACTTTACTCCCAGGAGAAGCTCAATACTCACTGCTTAATGGCGCTGGAGGAGCTGCGCTTGACCGCCCCTTGCGGCGACTGGCTGGAGTCCGAGTTGGTGTCGCGCGGCGCCAGCACCAGGCTCTTGTTCTTGGCCTTGGGCACGGAGGAGCCGACGCTCGGACCGACCGCCGGCGATTGTCTTTGGGTGCGAGCCAAGGTCTCGATGGAGCTGCGCAGGGGATGGATCATCTCGGCGCCATGGACAATCGGCACCGACTTGTGCCGCGTCTGGGTGAGCACCTTGAACTGGCACTCGTACTGCCGGACATCGTTGCGCGAGTCCCAGGGCCGCAGATCGGCGTACTTGTACAGCCACTGGCCGTAGCTGTCCAGCTCGAAGAGATCGGGCATGTGGGTGGATTCGGTGCTGGCCCGCTCCTTGGCCTCCGCTCGCTGGCGCTCCTCCAGCACGGTCTTCTCCTCGGTGGCCGCCACCTGATCCTCGCGTGCAATGGCCTCGGAGACCTTTTGCCACAGGAGCTGCGATTCGTTGGGCTCCTGGGCGTCCAGCGGAACCAGGTGACGGGTGAGCCGCTTGGCACGCGTCTCGGCATCTACCTTGAATAGAAGCGTCTCCTCGCCCGTCTTGGAATCCTTCACTCGGCACTCCTTGTCCCAGTGCCCGTTGATGGTGGCCAGCGTCTCCTTGCCCAGCTTGATCTTGCCCACAACCACATTGGTGGCATCGGAGCCGCCGAGGAACGGCTTCAGCTTGAACTCCAGCTCCGTCCTGTAACCGGTGTTCTCGCACTCGATGTTTATCTTGCCGCCCAGCTCCATGGAGAGCGTGCCCATCAGGATGCCCTTGCAGTGGGCGTACGGCGTGGTCGCCGTGTAGCACTCACCGCGCGGCAGCAACGTCATCGTGGCGGCGCCCTCGAGCACCGCCGAAGTGCTGTTGCCGTAGAACTTCGATTTGGCCAGGATGGAGCAGGTGATGCTGAAGCCGTCCTCGCGGTTCGTCACATAGAACGCCGACACAGGCGGATGATGCGAGACCTGCTCGGCAATGTAGAAAGTCCGACTGCCGCTGGGATGCTGCCAGTAGCAACGGAATCGTTCGCCCAGTATCGGATTGTAGGGCTTCTTCAGACCCTTGGGCTTCTTGTAGAAGCTGGACAGGTACCATTGGACGACTAGCTTCATGCGCGTAAAGGCATCGTCCTCCTGCACGGCCCTAAGATCGAAAAAAGATTACTAATAAGTTGCGGAGGGAAAGGGTAGGTAAAACCCACTTGGAGAGCAAGTCCGCGTGGTAGTAAGAGTCGGATAGCTTGTCCAGGAATGATCGCGGCTCCAGGATAAACGTGGGCAGCACCACCTTGCTCAGATCCATCCCCGGTCGCACCTGCTTGACAATGCACCAAATTAGGCTCTTGTTCTCCTCTGCCAACTCCTCTACCTGCTCCCCTTGCTGGAAATGAATACAGCTTGGATTAGTTTCTTAATAATTAAATAGACTATAATCCCACCTCGCCAAACTCCTCCTCGGTGAAGGGCACATACGTGGTCTCCTCGCACTGCTGCAGATCGACAACATCATCCTGCGCCGGATCCGACTCCGATTCTGATTCCGGACCAGACATGACGGCATTGGGCGCTTCATTCTGGCTGTCCGCGTCCAGATCTGAAAAGACATCCAAACCGATGAGATAGGATTGTAAAATCAGTGATCTCATCACGGACATTTCTCTAGCAGCCTGAAATGCAGGCGATAATTATTCACTCGTCGCACGGGCACAAAAGCAGAATACAGTGATGGAGCTCTAGCGCTGGGATTGACCATATGTGGAAAGCAAATTGAAGAACAATATTGGGATACTGGCCCCCAATGCCAGGCGGTGAGCATACAAGACACGAATTTTGAACATTTAACTCCACTGCTACTATAATGTTAGATCATGACTAGCCGGCTGAAGGGGGGGAAACCAATTGGAAGAAATAAAAAAAATAAACCAATTTTAAAAGTGACATTTAAAAAAAATCCTATTACTGACTTCTTGTTGTTCAAAAACTTTTAACTGTCAAAAAATAGAATAATAAATATGTCAGTAAATTTCTCCAAGGTTATTATTCAAAAAGGGTAGATAGTATAAAAATCAAAATTGTCTATCTAAAAACTACCACATCATAATGACAAAATATGAAGCATTGAGAATTTTACCATTTAAAATAAAATAAATAAAATAAAAATCTTCCCCCCAAATGATTTTTAACTTACTAAAACGACAGCAAAGGAGGGTCGTTTTTACCCTTGACATTCAGACTTTAAAGTACTATCTTTTCTGATTCTTATTTTTCAAAAACTTTTAACTGTCAAATAAAACAGAAAAAGACCTAAACCAAAGATAGATTCTTCTTAAATTGTTTTTGGTAATTTCAGTAAATTTCTTCAAGGTTATTATTCAAAAATATTCTCATAAATATGTCATTAAAATCTATCACAATATAATCATAAAATAGGATAAATAAAAAATTATTTTTCCCTTTAAAATAAAATCCAAATAAAAATCCTATTTCAATATGATCTTCCCCCCCAAATGATTTTCAACTAACTAAAACGACAGCAAAGGAGGGGGCGTTTTCACCCTTGACATTCAGACGAAATCGCGGCATCATCAGGCAATCGGGCGGAGCGCTGACGGGCCGCAAACCAGCCTGGCTGTGATTATAGTCCTCGTCGTCATCCTCGCTGGAGCTGCTGTTGCACTGGGTGGCCCCCAGCGACATGGACTTGCTCATGGGGCTCAGGTGGCGACGCTTTCGCTGAACCATGCCCATGCCCAGGTTCTGCTCCACACTGGAGGCATCGCTAAACGAGGTCTTGCGCTGCTCCGACTGATGACCGAAGCGCGGCAGACGCTTGGTCCGCTCCCAGTTGCTAACGGCGCTGCTGTAGAGCTGCTGCAGCAGTGGAGTGGCTGCCCGCGAGGCGGACAGGCTGGTGTCGGAGCGCGAGGTCTCCGCCTCGGCCGCCGGCAGTCCCAGGAACTGCGCCCACTTACCGTGATCGTTGAAGTGCTTCTCGTAGTCCGCCTCCGACCATTGCGTCTCATGGGAGACGGGCAGCGGTTCGCCCACATAGCTGGACGAGGGAGCAGCTCCCGTGCTGCTATTGGAGCGCAGCAGGAGGGCCGAACATCTCAGGGACAGCTCCAAAGCGTCCATCCAGCATTTGCCGGCCGCCTGGCTGGGAGCCCGGAAGATCAGGTAAGCGGTTGGCAACGGCTGGACAACGGCACCTTGAAAGATAGTTCGATTAGTAAGGGCTTAAAACCAATAAAAGTATAAAATCCTTATAATATTGAAAACTTTTTAATGAATAACATATAATTAAGTATGTATTCTGTGTAAAGTTATTATAAAATTCATCATCGATAATGTTTTGTATATCACAATTAAATTACAGACCATTGAAGTACAAAATCTTAATAATATTGACTAACTTTTAATACTATATTCTGTGTAAAGTTATTATAAAGAAAAAAAATCATCTCGATAAGGTTTTGTATATCACAATTAAATTCTATGGATTTTATGTGAAATCGTTTTTTTTTAATATGATTTAAAGCCACATTTGATTGGTTAAACATTTTTTACAAAAACCTCAATGAAGTTTGGCCTAAATCTAATTTTAACTTAATAAATAAAATTTGTAACTTATCAAATATGGCTTTAAATCGTATATAAAAAAACGATTTCACCTAAAATTCGATGTTTAATGATATACCATTTATCTGTATATATAAATTAATATAAACCAAGTTTTAAACTTCATGATTTTAATAGATTACCTATGGTTTCCTTGTCAGGTCCTCGTGGCGCCCAAATGGACTGCTCCAGGGGATGGAAGAGCTTGAAGCAGAAGCCATCCTTTTTGCTGGGCCGCTCGATCACCTGGCAGGAGGTGAGCATCACCGTGCCCACCCAGTGGCTGCTCTTGGTCTTTTGGCTCTTGTAGATGAGCAGCAGGCCGGGTTTGAGGACACACCAAAGTTTCGTCCAGGACTTGAGGGTTCCCCGAACCTAAAAAGCATTTAAATGAAATTACTAAATTGTAAATTAATATTTATAATATTTCAAGCTCACCTTTAGCCAATCTGCCAGGACTATAACCGCAGGATCTTGCAGGGAATTCATCAGCTCACTGGCAACTCGCTTCTTCTCCCGCCTGTAGTTCTTCCTTTGGGCCTTGTAGGATTCCTTCCTGTTAAGTTTAGCGGCATCTGCAGCTGACTGTTGGTAAACAGATAAAATCAATTAAATAAAATAATAGAATAGAATATTAAAAATAATACTATCACTAAACCTTTTTCCCATTGCAGCAGTGAAAAATATTTATGTACTTAAAATACATTGCTTTATTTCGTAATAATTTCGCTGGTTTTTCGGTTAAATTTTGCCTGCGCTTACGTCAAATGTTCGGCCACAATTGCCCCCAGTAAGCTTTTAATTTTCTAAGGCGAAATCCGAAACGCATTGTTAATCTAATTAGCATTTATAATTTGCTTAGCTGCCGGATAAAAGTGAAAAATTTGTCACATTTATGCCGGAGAATGTGACACGTGGCGTGTTCCGGAACCCAGGGCCTATATTTATTACTTTTTATCACACAGTCGGCACATCGATTATAACTAAATTAGACAACGACGTAGCGTAGCGACACGACTCTTATCTGCGACCTCCCCCCATAAATAACCCAGATTTTCGTATACGTTTTAACAGTTCAAAATTAAAGTTATGTTAGTTTGGTGTGGGGATTACTTGCCTTATCTGCCACATTGCCATCCCGATTGTCTGAGGCCCAATTGGCGATTCCTGTAAGACGAAAGATCATAGTTCTGTTATCATGGGAGTGTTTGTGTGTGTTTGATGTTTATAGAGAACATGATGATTTGAATGCCGACAAGTATCCAATCGATCTAGCACTGAATTAGTAGATACTTTGTTGTTTTTGGAAACTTTTCCATCGCCTATTTACGATCCGAAAAACGAGACCAAACAAAAACACAACAAAGGGGGAAAAGCGCCAAAAGTACGAAACATAAAGAGAAGAAAACCGTCTCAAGGTGCGATGCTCGGAGGGTCGGCGGTTTATTTATTTTACAAATATGTTTTATTCTATTTCGCAAGATACAAACACGCACAAGAGAACGATTTTCTCTGGGTCTTGAGGTCTTGGGGTCTCGAGATCTCAAGATTTCTCGTACCGCCTCGACTGGCATTGTCAAGTATCTCGCACTTGCACTTTAAACATCGCCAAACGGCCGCTGCCCTCGTGTCTTTCGCATTCTTATTAATTATTTTTATTGCTCGGCTAAAAATAAAGGCCTCCGAAAAGAGCATGTCGCTTAATATTCAAAACCACACAGAAGTGGAGAAAAATTCCCTTCGAATTATGGGTGTTTAATAATTGTCACTTGCTTTGTAGGAGATTCATGACCGGGAGACAACCGCTTCTAACTGCGTTTTAAATACTTGTATTTCTATTTATTTTTGCATATTTTGTTGTGTTTCGCTCATTCACGTTTCACAGGGCGGCACTACATGGCGTATGCGTGATGCGAGAACCGATTCAGAGACGCCGACCTCTGCTAGGTTTATTTTATTTATTTATTTATATTTTTTTTTTTTTAATTTTCTGCCTGCCGCTTGTCCGCTGGCCGCTCGCCGACTGATTGAGATATATTGAGTCTGCCCCGAAACGCGCGCACAAAGCACAAAAACACAACAAAAGCACCAGCGGCAAATGACAAAAGCACCAGGGCAGCGACGCAGCAGAGGCCCAGCCGAGCCGACTACAACCATTATCTGGCTTTCGTCATATATTTTTGACAAAAATAAAAGATATAGAAATTATTTGCCAAGCGAAAATATCTAAACTGAGAGGATCATCTCTCTCGGTCGCTGCCTCTGCCGACGCCAGCAGAACGCCAGTACTCATGCGTAGATATATAGATACTTTGTGTGCTTTTGCTGCCCAGATAACGATATCAACGCTGACTGTGCTCTCTGAAAATCAAATATACGGACGGGAGAGCCGCAAACCTCTGTCGGCGATATCTATGGGGGGTTATTAGCAAGTCTAACTGATATATGATCTCACGCTAAAGACGTTTGAAAGTATTAGCCCCCCATTATATAGCGGAATCTGTGTGTTTCCTGACGATAAGATCATCATAACCTATCCCAATACGAAAAAATAAGAATCAAAACAAAATAAATTTGTAAAAATAGGAAAAATTCTGAAAAGTTATAAAACATTTATGGTTTTAATTAAGATAATATTCCTAGAGACATTATTTATTTTCTATGCCTAATGTTTAAACAAGGTTCTATTAACAACAAATGGATATGGCAAAGTCCGAGGAAGCACCTGCAAAATATATCATAATTATGTCACTCAGATAAGCCTCTTTGAGTACAACATTCAAAACCCTTTTAGGCCTGCCATAGATAGAAATTACTCGACACCTGTTGATGTTATGTGGGCCATGAAAAGAGGATCCCAAAATAAAAGCCAGGTGTGCAGAGTTGATATCTAACTATCGACTATTACTCATCACTGAAATCAGAACTTGTCTGTAAACCTTATCAGCCATGTGGAGCACTATAGATAGGGGAATATGTTGTGCCGTCTGGGGCGGTGATTAGTCATATTTGTAATAAATCCGGAACCTGGATGAGTCAACCGATTTCTCTAAAACCGTTGACCATTTTATTATTAGTAAACCGATTAGTGTGTTTCCCTATGTACATGTATATGGCCCAATTATGCCTTATCAAGGTGCAAAACTTTCGGGCTGTAAAACTCTGATGAATGTCATAACTCTGGTGATAAGATATGATTGCCATGGCAAGCATTTATCCAGGGTCCTCAGCCGAAAAACGGGCAGAAGTTGAGTGGCAGGGCACTTTAAGTATTATTAATAATACTCTCGCACCGAACAATCGCAAAATCGTTTGATAATAATGCGCCAAAAACAATAGCACAAAAGCGCAACAAAAGCTCTAAGCAAAAATAAAAGGCGAAATGCGTCACGCCAAAATTGGAACGCATGGCTGGGCTGTCAGGGGGTTTTTAGTGGGTGGGGTCTTGCCATATGGGAAACGCATACGAATGCGCCTTTAGCCAGGTTCTATTTGGTATGCGGGATCAGGTGATAAGCATGAACATTACGAAAATGCTGATTGTGTAACTGAGAGCATAGCAAAAACCCAAATTTCCAACCTCAAGATCGGTAAATTATGATTGCTTTTAGGATCGTGCCGATCGAGTAAGTAAAAATAATTTTTTTGTATTCTAGATGATAGATGCATAAGTGCTGCGGATGTTGTATAACCAAGTAATTGATCGTTTTTGACGATCTATAATTTTTGTATTTTGTGTGCGAATCAGGCGTTGAAAATAATTACTAACATGCGGATTGAATTTTTGAAAGCAAAGCTAAATAAAAATGGAATGATCTGATGATCAATGAAGATTTTGGGATCGTGCTGATCGAAAAGATCAAAGCAATTTCACCTCAGTGTATTGATATATAAGACGGTCATAACTCAAAGCCAAAAAAAATCAGTTGATGATGTTTAAATTTAGTTATGATGTTTTATGAGGAATAAATTATTGAAATTAACAATGTAAAATAGTTCTAAGTATGAATAAATTATAAAACAAATAAAACTTTAAATGTTTGGTGATGGTCTACTTTTGTTCAACTGTGCTGGAATTTTGATTTATTTTTTTTAGAACTTCACCTGGCGATGATGGCGCCGGACTGTTGCTCAAACTGTCCGTGGACGGAAGTTTGGTCATGAGGACTTTTAGCGAAGGTCGCCGTTTGAATTTGAAATCGAATACTGAGGAGCAGTTTGCAGCACACACATAAATACGGGGGAGAAAGAGAAAGCGAGCATATTGATATATATATATATATTTTATATAGGATTATGGGCTTATAGAGCTTAGGTCACTGGTTTAGACAGTTTTCGATATACGCACGACACATAGACACCGACAAATTGTACAAATAAAGTTTTTACCACAACATAACCAAAGACACAAAACAACTTAGGGATAGTCACACGAAACACACAGAATGACATACTTATTCTCGGACAAAAACAGCTAACTACACAGTGAAAAATCATTTGTAATTGGAAACAGAAAACCAAAACGTATAAGATTCGAACGAAAGGTATCTTTCATTTTAAAAGATTATATTTCTGTGTTTATCATTTGTTCATTTGTAGTTGATTTGAATACTTAATGAAAATAATAAAAAAAAATTTTAACTTTAAAAATTACTAAAGAACTATAAAAGCTCTTGAATTTTGATTGCAATATTCCCTTAATTTCAGTTTAATACAGCTTCGAGTGCGTAGCCCTTGACAGGACTAAGTCTTAAGCCACTTGATCCAATCAGGCGCAAGGAAGCTCCGGGCACATCCATTACCATTACGGCCTTAATTATGGCCGCTCATCAATTGTCTGCTATCGGACATGGGAGCTCAGCACGCAGCTGAAGCGCCAAGGAGGCGCCTGCCTGGCTGGTGGTAATTAAGATTGCTATTGCGATGGCGATGGCGATGCAGATGCGGATAGGATAGCGATGGCCGAGAGACAATAGTGTGCCCTGATTGATTTTAAGTAAAGCGCCAACGCCTTGCAGGCAATCAATTTACGCAATTAGAACACGCCTCCGCAGTCTCGAATAGTTCAGGGTTCAGCACCAAAGTCAAGCAAGTCCACATATTTGGTCTGCACAACGCGAAATTATACCATATATTTTAGAGATATTTCTGAGTTAGAGATTTTATATCTTTGTATATCTTTCATTTAAAAACCAATTTAAAAAATATGTTATTAAAGTAAAATATAATTTATTTAAATAAACGGGGCTAACAGCCATAACAAATAACATTTAAGATTTAAGTAAGTATGAATTTTTCCCAGTGTCCCTTTGTTCTGGCGGAAAATTACGGCCAGAACTTTAACCACTCTCCCCTTTGCGTGTGCCAGTTCAGTAAATTCCCGGCCAAAGGATGCCAGCTGATGCAAGACATTGCAGCGCAGAAAGTGCAATTTTGAGTTGCCCCCAGCTGGGCTTGGCCAAAAATGACGTCATATTTGGCCGCTGAAATGGCGCCGCTCTAAATGACCCCCAAAGTCTCTCCGACCCCGCCACGAAACACACACATACATATATTTTGTTGCTTCTTTTTTACGTAATCCAATTACAATTTAGTTGGCTTTCCGTTTGTGGGGGTCACTGGAGAAACACTTTATGGGATGCGGTTGGTGTCACCATATTTTATGGCCAATATAGAGACCTCAACTAGAAAATTCACTCAAGAAGTGGCGAGATCAATGGGGAGCTTACACAGAAAAACACTCAACTTCTACCCTTTGCCGTCCCAACCATTTTCTCTAATGTTTTATTTATTGGACGGTAATTTGCCCAAAAGCATGCTATAAAATATTCATCGAACAACAGACACACACCTTCAAACACTTTCAGAGCTCAACGCACACAATCAAGTGACTCGTTCAGTACCCAGCGGGAACATTCCTCTGGAAAATAACATATTTTCAAGAGGTTTCTCCATACAAGCGGAAGGGACAAAACCTCATTCACCCCTTACATTTCTTCCGTCTCTGGTTTCAAAATACACGGGGGTGACACAAAAAGTAAGGGGGAAATGAGGTTTCTATGTGGTTTTCCTAGGGAATTTACATTTTCCCTACACCGTCGCCTGCTGAAAGAAACAGGATTTCCAACACTTTCTGCAAAAAGGAACAGGATTTTCAGCACACAAAGAACCTCCTTCTCACTTTCCCGGTGGGTATGCAAATGCAGATGTAAATAGCATTAGTCGACTGAATTCCTCTAGTATACAGAGAAAAAAACATTGCATTAACTTTATACTATCATTTAAATATTTTTTTAATTTCGTAAGATATCCTTATCAAATATTAACGATAGCTTTGTAAATATTTTCATATGACAAAAAAAAAGAAATATTTTTCAGTATAAAATGCATCTCTCTTTTGCATTCTCCATCTCACTTTTGACCTTTTGGGGAGGGAAAGAATTTTCAGCGAAAACAAAAATAGAACACGGCCCATCGAGAAAGGGTGGTGAGAAAAGGGGTGGAGTCCACCGACTGACCCACCATCAACCCTTTTCGTCCTTCACAACGTCTCACTTAAAACTAGTGGACTTGTAAATATGGTGGTATAACTATTTAACGAAAACTTAATTCGCTTTTAATTTTTTAAAATCCCAAGAATTTCGGATCTAAGCTTTAAAATATAATTGTGATTATTTTAAAAAACATTTAAATCATATTTCCTAAAAATAGGGGTGAAACATTAGCGAATATATAAACATATTTATATTTCCAACAATTTCATATTGACACATAGAAACATGAATTTTGGTAATTTCCAAAAAAAAAATTTACTCAAATTTGTTTATTTATTTTCAAAAACAAGTCATACGATTTCCTAGAATACTGACTAGCCCATAAATTAAGGCATCATACAAAATGTCATGCATCGATTTTTCTTGTATTTATTTTGTACGCAATTTCCCTTTTGCACCTATGAACATTTCCGAATGCCGCAGAAACCAGAAGGAGGACAGTTGAATGGGGGCGGTGGGTGTGGATGTGTTTACCTATTTGCCAGGTGTAAGCTATTCGGCACATTTATGACATGCAGTTTTTCGCATAGATTTCCATGCGGGCAATGTTTATTCGCACCCACTGTTTCAACCGCCCCGGGGCCTCAAAAATAAACAGCAAAAGACGAGACGACTACAATGGTAATTATAAAGTCGCATTCGGATGGAAAGTGAGTAAGAGTGTGAGTGCTTGTGTCAGCTAATTGCGTATATATACGATATAGGGTGCAGTAGGGTGGACCTTATTGATATGCGGAGTCTAAGATACCCACTAAAAATTATATTATTAGTCAAAAAAAATAAGATAAAATAAACATTTTTTATAATGACTCTTTCTTTATTGGAACCTTAAATTTTCATAGATTCAACTCATAAACGTCCACCCTAATTAACACCTGTTCATATATGCATGAAGATAGTGTTCAGTTATGGATATATATCTGGACTATAAAGTAATACAGCATGCGAATAAAACTTTAATGACAGTTGCACGCTATAAAGCAAACAATAAACAACAGCAACAAACCACAATGACATCAAAGCAAATGGTGCGTGTGCAAAATCCCGTAGACCAACGTTGGTTACCAGGTAACCCCCCCCCCGACAATCCTGAGCGCCAACTAACCGCTTACTCACGTCCCAGTTCGACAAAAGCAAAAGTCAAAAGCTAATCGATAAAGCGCATAAAATATGGAATCAGAAACACAAACTTTTGTTTGCTGAGACTCTCAGCCTGAGAGCAATTAAACTTACTAACAGCTGGTAAAGTTATTGAGAAAATGAATACATTTCTTTATATAATATTTAAGGAATCTCTTAATCTAACGTAGATATTTTAAGATTTTAAGTACTTGAAACCGAAACTGTAAGAAACTAAAAGTTGACTTGAATTATTGTTTAATTTAACAGCAGAAAAATGATCTCATCTCTGAGCGAGTAAACTCAATTAAAAAACTTTATATCGACTGTCAGAGGAACGTCGCATATGGTCTTTTGTGATTTATATACAGAAGCCAAAAATAAAAGAAACGGCAATGAGAGAATGTTTTAATTATATCTTAATTTTTAGAACATCTTACAAAGGCTAAAAGAATGTGATGTCATTTTAGAGGATTAATAAGGAAATTACTTGGAAAGTTAACTTGAGGAAGTCGACCAATAACCGAAAAAGTAAACAATAGTGACTCAATTTCTTTTAATAGAATGATTTATAAAAAAATAAATATGAAATTTTGTTTTAATTTCCCTATAAATGTAAAGGAATGCGGGTTAGTGGTGTTTAATAAGCCACACAAAGAACTTAATTACGCTGTTAATTGATATGAACTGGCAGATGAACATCGGGGGTATCTATTGTCATGGAACCAGCTGTAAACACAGGGGAAGTGACAGACCTTCACCGTGGGTTTCCGCACAGGTGCAAATGGCAAGCGCCAGTTAACAAAATTGACAGTCACCAGGCCCACTCTGAAAATATCCGGACCAACAAGTAGCCTAGCAACCAGAAAGCAAAACCAAACCAAACTGACAAAAGAGTCGGACAACTGGTATGTAAATCAATTAACACCAGCGGCTGAATCTCGCTTGGATGAATGGGCCCGCAGAGCGGAAGCGCGCTAAATGACGAACAAAAAGCCGAGTGTTAAGCGATAACGTGGCCCCTGGGATAGATGGATGGAGTGGAATTACGGATGGAATGGGGTTGGGAGTGGGGGTACGGCTTTACGGATTAGCCGGCACTCGACTCTGACTGATGAGTGAGCTGGAATTTTGAAATGTGAGCAGCAGCAAAATCAAAACAAGCAAAGCACACAGCATACGGAAATGAAAATATAAAAGTCGGAAATCTAGACGGAATCATTCCAGAACTCGTGTATAATACAAATGCGGTCAAAACAAGAGCTCTGAGAAGTCTTTATCGGAATGCTTTATCTTGGGTTTTCTTAACTCGATTATTTAATGATTTTTTTATGTTTCTATTCTGAAATTTGGAAGACTAATCAATTTATTGATTGCTTTTACAGTTGATAGATGTTTAAATAAGATAAGAAGCTGTAAAAATGCCAGCTTTATTATGCCTAGATTATATGACAAATTGATTATTTTGTAGATCTAGGCAGAATGTGCAAAAATAATGTAGATATATCGATTAATTCAAGCACTTGAGATTAGGTTTTTCACTTCTAGGTTTAAAATTAGTATGGGGAAAGTTCGCCTGGCTAATCAGCACAATGTACTCAATTTATGAATGGCTTCTTTTGTGCTATTTTTTTGACCGCAATTGTGTGAGAGTGTGTGTGTGTTTTCGTGATAATCGATATTGCATTAGATTCGATTGCGACTGATCGAATCGAGCAGAGTGATAGTGAGAGAGGGACAGAGCGAGTGTAAGTGACATTGAGAGGAGAGAGATGACAACACAGAGAGAGGGGGGCGGGTTAAAAGGGGGTCAAACTCACCTGTCGACTGACGCAATCCGGCGCTATTCGGCGGCGTGATGCTGATTCCACTGACGCTGCTGGCGGCACCAACACTAACGCCCAGCGATTGATTCGATGCGCCCATGGAGAGGCCAGAGGGGGTGACAGAACCGCCGCCGCCTCCTCCACCCCCCGCTGCGGAGGGCAGGGGCGCCTGCAGCTGCAGCAGGTGACTGCCGGTGGGCACACTGCTCGACTGCGGCTGCTGTTGCGGCGTTCCGGGCATCGAGTGGGAGTGCGGGGTGGAGGGGTGGGTCAGCGTATCGCCACCCCCACCCCCGCCCGGCTGTTTGGCACTGTTTATCCGAATGGGGGTGCTGCTGGCCCCCCCGCCACTAATGGCAGGGGCGGCGCCGGCAACGGGGGTAACCGACGATGAGTTGGACGCATTATTAACGGGCGTGCTGGGCGTTGCGGGTTGCATTGCGTTTAAATCGCTTAATTATTTGGATCCCTAAATTAACTCTTATTAGTTCTTCACTTTATATATTCGTTAACCCCGGTTATTTTTTTTTTTTTTTTTTTTGCTATCAATCAGCAGGCATTGCTCCAATTGTCGTTCTCACAAATACACGCACACACTCCCCCACTCAAACACTCTCACCGACACACACACTCTCACATACAGGGCCGGACGCAGGGCCAATTATTGATTTTGTTTTAGCCGCTCAAGAGTTTTAACCCCCTCACGTTCTTTTTTTTTGCACTAGAATTTTGTGTTATTTTTTTTCAGATGTCTTTTTGATTTTGCCTAAAAGTATTAAAGTTTAATTTTTAATTAGATTCTGATAAGTAAGAAGCGTGCTTCTTAGCTCAAGTGGTCAGTTGGTCGAAGTGGAAAGACGGCCACGTAACACGCTCTTTAAATCTCTTTTTTTTTGTATTTTTTGGTACCAATTAGTGGCAAAAAGAAAGGCGCTTCTACTAGCAATAGTACTAATACTAATACCAATGCTAGTACAATTCTAACACGCACCAGCAAACAAACAAACACACACACACACGTTTGTCACACACTTTTTCGATTTTCGTTTTGTTTTTGGTTTTTCCTTCGCGGCTCTCTTTCGTTCTTTCTCTCTCCCACGGTCCGGTGTCGTTGGCGATTCGCGTTCAAATGAAACTGAAGCTGCAATTCGTAGTCGCCCGTATTCCAAAAAGCTAAACTTGTTTCTTTTCGCTTTCGTATGAGCTCATCCAGCGCCAACAACAACCACCGCGGCAGCGACGTCACCAGCCCCCAACCACCTTGCCGCCCAGTCGCCCACCGAACAGGCGGCGAGTATTATTTTCATGACGCGTCCAAGACGCTGGAAAGTGGATGTGTGTAAAAGCGAAACAAGCTTTTATTTATTTTTTTTATTTGGGAAGGCTCACAGAGCTGCCAACTCTTCTTTTAGACCAGTGTGGAGTTGCCAACTCTCTTCCTAGACCGGTAACTGTAAATGTTAACTTAATGCTTAACACTGACATAACAGTGCTTGCTTTTTACTGTGAACTGTGTTTACATGAGCTTTTGGAGCATATCACGAATGATTTGAACAGCAACGAAAAATGGGGCGCGCGCTGGTTTTCTTGTTTCGTCGGTAAATGTGGTGAATTTACAATTCTCCAACATTACTATCTCAACTAACAAAGGTGATCATTAAAGTTACAAAGCTGGGTATCATATAAAGTTGACGCTAAGCCATATTAAATAAGTATTTTTTTAAGTCAAAGCAAGCTAATTATAATGTAAATTAGAATTGGATTTAATTTACTTTCAATTGTTTAATCTAGGTTAATCACTGAGCAAGTATTTAGTCATGGGGGAATTCGTTTTATACTATTAAGATGAATAAAATATTATTGTATTCAGTCAATCAAACCAAACGACCGGAGCGGATCACTTACCCACTATATCTAATGTTAAAAGCTTTTAATATGTTGTATTATTGGCTGTAATTTTGTTTATAGATTCAGAATCCTCATTTCACACTTCCACATTCACACTTTCACATATGTTTTGATTGAATTTCAAAAGATTTTTCAACATGGAGGCTATATGGCAACACTGATTTTCACTGACTTACATTAACTTACTTGTGGAAGAAACCTTTAAAAAGTCCGGGACGTCTGATATTTTAGCCGATTTAATAGCAGACTTAGGATAAAACCCTTACACGGCCAAGATCCAAAACGGAAAGGCCGAATAGTCGGTATGAGCAAGGCTTGTTTATCGAAAAATTGTAGGACCAGAGTTACTCAGGAAACTTAATCGAACGCGTCTTTTCAGTGTTGTAAAGACGAAAATGATTTGAATTTTGATCGGCCGCTTTAAAACCTGGCTGCAATTTTGAATTTTTGCGGGAATTTTAAATTGGGGGTGAGAAATTTTGAATGGGGAGTCTGATTTCAAATGGTTAATAAATGAAATAAATTAATTAAAAAATAATTTTAAATTATAAATTTATTAACCTAAAACAATAAAGTTATATAAAGCTATATAGCTACTAAAGCTACTTTATTTGAATTCATTTTTTTAATTTCATTTTCAGCTAAGCTTTCCACTATGTATATATGTTTGTTTTACTACTTGGTTCAAAGTTGCAATCTAATATTACTCGATACACTCTTTCTACTTATACATCATTCGAATAGCGCAGAAGAACTTGTAAGACACATTCATGAACTGGAAAGTGAAAAAAAACTATAATTTAATTGTACAAACTACAAATTCTGGAGACTTGCAGCGCTCATGGTCTCCATGGACACATCCAGAAATACAGTGGCCTTCAGGCAGACGGGCTTTTGGGCTCGCATCGCCATTAAAAGTAACATTTTCCGGAATCGAGCATCGGACTCGAACCAATTCATTTCGTAGACAGCAAAGCTAACGTTATTACTCTGAAAATACATATCCCTTTAGTTAATTTGAAATTTCAATAACAGATACTTATCAGACCGCTTTAATTAGCATCTGGCTAAAGAAGCAGATGAGGTAGATCTCCACAAGAGCCGAAAGTATGATCAACACCTGTCTTCCGATATACTTCAAACTAAAGCCGATGGTCAACTGAAAGCCCACATTGCAAACGAGCAGCGAGGAGTTGATAAAGTTCAGCAACAACGGAACTCCAAAGACATCGTTCATAACGTTCGTGAGTCTGTGGGAGATTATTACCCACGGATTATATATAAAACAAGAGAGAACGCTATAGTCGGGTTGGTGTTTCGACTATCTAATACCCGTCACTCAGCTAAAGGGAGTGCGAGGGAGATAGATATATAAACAATTTTGATTGCGTATAACTTTTTAATGAATTGTCCGATTTTAAAAATGTCTTCTACATTTCGATAGGTATAAATATACACAACAAAATTGCATTTATACTTCTCGGAAATCTTCAAAGATGTGGGCGCAGGACACATTTTAAAATCGTTTCTCTACGTTTACTCTACGAGTAACGGGTATAATTATAAGTCTATAACTTACTCCAGCACTTGATTGTGGTAGGCGATCAGGGATCTCAACTCCTTCAAATCCTCTTCAGCTCCACTGGCATTGCGATGGTCTCGATTTCGATTCCGATTCCGAACTTTGAATTCCCTGAGAGTCCTGGCCAATCTATCGAAATGCATGATGACCTGGATGACGGCGGCGAACATCATAAGATCGGCGGATATATAGCCGCAGGTGCAAGTGTAAGAGGCAATGGACTGAAGCAAATAGGTCGGCCAGAATCTCCAGCTGCCTCGCCAATTCCAAGGGGCCATTGGTACAAAGGGCAGGGTTAACTCGGCATTCGGCGAATGAAGCCACCATCTTTGGATGACGTACTGTGCCATTGCGGACATGCTGTTGGTAGTTACCATAGCCGTTAGAAGAGACGCAAAACCCTTTGAGATAAGGTTGCAAAACTTTAGATAGTGCCTCACAGCATACTGTTCATGCTCCTTTTCGATGGGCGGTGGAAATAGCAACTTCATATGCCGCACCAGGCTGCTCAGTTTTCCCTTTTGCAACTGAACAACTATTATTTTCAGGACGCCCACGTTGCCGAAAGTGATATAACCGACCACCATGGAAAGCTTGAGAAAATCCGCATTGGGTCCCATTGAGTTTACAACAAACACCATCATTGAAACCCACACAAAGCCAAGGTTGATTATGTGGAACACAAGGTACAACTGGAATCCGATGCTGGGCTTCTGTTCCGATTCGTAGGGATCCACGCCCATAGAATAAAAGAAAATCGTAGTCAGCCTCAGAAAGTCCTCGACGACGGGAAAAACTTTATCCGGCTTCGCGACGGTTCCGTACTTTCCAGTAAGAATCTTTTTTACGAAGTTAATCCTCATTTTGATCACGGTGACTTGACTGCTAAGAAAAGCTAATCGGGATGGCTTATATAGTCTAGGAAATGGACAAAAACCGCAAGTTATCCTTTAAAGTATTCATTCAAAAAAACACCTGCATACACTTGAAAACCCATAAGCAAAATCTTTAAAAATTTTTTGATTATTTCACAAGGGGTACTTTTATTAGGATTACTTCTTTATAAAGCTACCTATTGGAAGTTTTACATTTCAACCACAATACAGTAAACATCATATGTCTAATTAAGTTAGTAATTTCTTTCTGTGTATTTTAAAGACCCTTACACGTCTTTGCGGTTACCAGAGCCCTTTTACACTGAGCCAAAATCTTAAAGGAATCATAAATATGAATAAATTAAAACCACATGTTGATTACAATTAGTTATTTTTTAATTTTCCTAATGTGGATATGCTAATTTCCCACCTATACTTTTAAAAATAAACATTTTGCCTCTGTGTACTTTCCCTTTTGTGGTTAGCCATATGTGTTTTATTGGGACAACACTACTTGGCCCATGGATAATTAATTAATAGGTCTTAAATTGAAGTACAAGCAATGCTAGAATTGGTTTTAAAAATAGTCGGTCAATAAACTTGAATTTATGAATGCTATAAATTAACATATGATTTAAAAAACACCACCATTAACCCCATTGAAGAATATTTTCAAATGTTCAAGTATTTATTCAACTTTGGCTGACTATTTGGCTTGTAGCACTTTCAGACTTAGAAGGCAGTTCATCTTTTGGATCATTTAATTGGATTTCTAGACGACCTCGATGGGAGCGACGGGCTGTCCTCCGCTGACCAACTCCTTGACCAGGTTGCGACCCCAGTTGATGCTCACATCGGCACAGTTCTTGAAGGTTTCCTGGGGTCCGCAGCCCAGGGCTCCGTTGCCGGAGTTATCGCAGATGCCCCAGTTGTTGGCTGGAAAATAAGAATGTACTTAAAGTTAACCATCCTAAACAAAAACCTTACAAAAAACTTACCACCCGTGTAGGTCCACCGTAGAACGCAGTGATTGCAGGTAAGTCCCTCTGGCAGCAGGGCAGTCACATCGAATTCACCGGCCTGATTTCCAATTTCCAATCTATTGCTGCCATCGGGGAAACGCAGAACGTTCTGGTTGAAGCACTCCTCCGATTCGCCACCGTAGGCATCCAGATTGCACACATGGAACTCGAAGTAGCCCAAGTGGTTGGTGGTGATCTTCACGCCCACGGTGATGGCCTGGCCGGCACCGTAGCTCCTGGTCACCACGCCGGCTCCACCGATACTTCCTCCGATCTCGTTGGCGCGGGGCTGGCCATCGGAGAAGTTGTCGCCGCACAGACCGCAACGACCTCCGTTGTTGGACTGGGTCTATGAATACAAAGAAACATATTAATATTATAAAAAATTCTAATGTTAATTACAACTTGTAATTTACAAAGCCAGAAAAGATAGTAAACTTTAGTTTAAGGAGCAGATACAAATATTATAAAATTGGTTATAAGGAGTAGCTAAAAATATTGCTTGTAAATTATGGAGGCTAAATTTCTAGCCATAGCCAAACGAAATTTTCAAGGACTTTCGATTGAAATTTTGACTGCTATGGTATGATATTGTTAAGTTTCTTTGGACATCTTGATAACTGAGATGATATATTTTTAACCAAGAACCTATAGACCTTCTTATATTCTGATTACCAAACTATAGTAACCTTCTTATATTCTGATTATCATACTATAGTAATACAAATATTATAATAAAGGGTTATAAATTATGGAGGCTAAATTTCTTACCATAGCCAAACGAAATTTTGAAGGATTTTCGGTTGAAATTTTGACTGATATGATATGATATTATAAAGTTTCAATGAAAATCTTAATAACTGAGATGATATATTTTAACTATATCCTATAGACCTAATTTCTGAAAGGGTACACCCAGAAGAAAAAATTTCCTTGATTTAAGTCCACGGACTTTAAATTAAGGAACGATGGCTAAAAGTTTTCATCGCATATAAATTTTAAGTCCATTTTTAGTCCACGTAGACTTAAAATTGATATGGGATAAACATTTTTAAGTCCACGTATAGACTTGTTTGCCATTTTAAAGCCATTATTCCTTAAATCAAAGTTAATGGACTTAAATTAAGGACATTTTTTTGAGTGTAATGTCATTTTTGACCAAATATAGTTATATTAAATTCTTAAGTTCGATTTGGACATATTTTAATACAACTATTTTTTAGTATGGTTAATGGCCATATTAGTCAGATTCTTCACTCACATACAAGCCGCCGCAGAAGAGCTCGTTGTCGTTCCAGTTCTGGGGAGCGGATCCGTCGTAGCGCCAACGGGAGGAGCGACTGGGCGGGGACAGCATCATGCCGTGGGCATCGATCTGCTGCAGCCCAATGGCCAACAGCAAGGTCACGCTGAGCAGGTACTTCATGGTGGGTGTATATTTGGCTTTCACTTTCGAACAATGCCACCCGCATGGACGCACCAGGTTTTATATGCGCTCCTGCCGTACTTATCAATCCGTTTTCAATCGAGAGTTTTACAGTAGCTCTCATGGCGATAAGAGGCCGTGATAACACTCAGTATAAATAATAACAATTGCAGTTCCTCGTACCGGTCAAAATCCGCAGAATCAACACTCCAGATAGCCAGGCCCACGGATAACCATCTTCGCGATTGGCATAGTGAAATATTCATAAAAATGTCGGTCGTCCAGAATGCCGCATATAAGTGGCATGAATAGATATTGTTATTTTCCTAATCACATTCGTGCAATCTGAAGTTCGTTTATTGGATTAACGGATCTCAAGTATTGCTCATTGATTGTTTGTTTTGGGTTAGCAGCTTATCGGTCGGCAATTGGCTTTCATAAATTCCATAAGAGGTGGATTAAATCCTATCACTTATTTTAAATAAATTTCTTGAAGAGCTAATTTTTTTAAGTTGAGTTCTTTTACGATAGTTTTAAACAAGAAAATATACAGACTTTCTCAACTGCAGTAGCGTGATTTTTACAATTTGGTACATGGTGCATAGGATTCATCAACGACCCAGAACACCGACATTTATTAATTCTCATTGAAATGGAACTAAATATTTATAAAACATTTAACACTACTTTATGTTTGTGATGCAATTTTATTTACAATTCTCATTAAATTTAATACAATTTGGTGTCTTTGTTTTTAAATTAAAATAGGTTCAACAAAATAATATTCGAATTCCTAATTAATAATAATAAACCTTTACAATATCAAATTGGTATAATATTGTAATTTAAGACCACAAACCAATGAAATTAACTGAAAAATTTAAAAAGAATCCCAGCATATTTGGTGGTTCCCCGAAAATATAACTTACAAATATCCCTAATAGAAACCGTTACATTTTAATTTCAGTATTTTTTAGTATACTCGACTGTGGTATTTTTGAGCTGCGGTCATACTGCTCCACACGTGTTTTGCCCGTAAACATTTTCGGCATGCAGAAATCTTAAGATTTATAATAGAAAATCAAGGAAACGGGACCTAAAATATAAAATGACGCACCTTCGGACGGATGACAAGCCGGAGTCGGAGGAGCCAAAGTCGGTGTTCAAGGAGAGCAGCTGCATCTTCCGGCGCAACCGAGCCCTCGGCTATGTGAGCAACCAGGTTCCGGCGGTCACCCGCTACATTCAGCGACGCCGGGACACGCTGCTGATCACCTGCATCGGCCGATCCTTCCAGGTGTACACCGCCAATCACTTCCGGCTGCTGCACGTCAGCGGTTTGCATCCGGACGAGATTACGGCCCTGGCCACCGATCGCCTGCACACTTACTCGGCCAGCAACAAGTGCATCTTCGCCTGGCGGGCGGGCAAACACATCCGGCACGTTTACCGCGGCCATCAGAAGGATGTCCACCTCCTGCTGCCCTTCGGCTCCAATTTGATCGCCATCGATCGGGATAATGTGCTGAAAGTGTGGAACATACCCACCGAGGATGTCTACCTGGAGGTTCCCTTCCGGGCGGAGGAGTTCCTGGTCACAGCGGTGGCCCATCCGCCCACGTACATCAACAAGATCGTGCTGGGCTCCCAGCAGGGCCAGCTGAAGATCCTGAACATCAAGAAGAACAGCGTGGTGTGCACTTTGAGCCACCACGAGAGCAGGATAACCTGCATCGAGCCTGCACCCGCTCTGGATGTCGTGGCCGTGGGTCATGGGGATGGTGCCATCATCCTGCTGAACCTCAAGTTCGACGAGGTGCTGATGAGCTTCCAGCAGGATTGGGGCCAGGTCACCAGCCTCTCCTTCCGCACCGACGGACCACCCATCCTGGTGTCGGCCTGCAGCAATGGCTACATGGCCTTCTGGAATCTGGAGGAGCGCAAGCTGGCCGGCCAGCTGCAGGCGCACGAGGAGCCGGTGACCACGGCCATCTGCCTGCCCAGCGAACCGGTGGTGTTCACCACCTCGCCCGACAACTCCATGAAGATGTTCATCTTCGATATGCCCGATAATGGGGCTCGGCAGCTGAGGATTCGCGAGGGCCATACAAAGCCGCCATTGTGCATTCGCTACCATGGAAACTCGGGCGTCTCGATTCTCTCCTCCGGCGAGGACAGCACCATGCGGGTGTTCTCCACCATCTCCGAGTCGCTGAACAAGAGCATGGGCAGGGCCACCTACAATACAAAGGCTACGAAAAAGAAGAGTAGGTATTTAGGGATTTAAACCTAAGAAATGTATTTTAATTTATATGTATTTCCCGCAGATCGCTTCCAGTTCGACAAGTTTGGCATGCCGCCCATCCTGGAGTTCACCTCGGACACGGCCCGCGAGAAGGAGTGGGATAACATTGCCGCCATCCATGCGGGCGTTATTCAGACCACCACCTGGACCTTCGCCAATAGCCGCATGGGCGAGCACCGTCTGGTGCCGCAGCAATTCCAGAACAAGAACCGCACGGACTTCCAAAGCGAGACCACTTGCCTCGTGCTGACGCACTGCGGCAACTTTGTGATCATCGGCTATAGTAGTGGCCACATCGAGCGCTTCAACATCCAGTCGGGCATCCACAGAGCTAGCTACGGTTCTCCGGGCCACAAGATGGCTGTGCGCGGCCTGGCCAGCGACAACCTCAATCAGACTGTCATCTCTGGCTGTTCGGAGGGGCTGCTCAAGTTCTGGCCGTTTAAAGGAAAGGGTAAGTAATAAGCTTGTTTGGTAGAAAACTTGTGTTATTAACATGTTAAATGTCAAAGTGTTGAGTTCAAAAAAAGTTATTGACATGTGTGTAAACAATTGTAGCTTACATATGTTAGAAACATATATAACACACACAGGTCATTTGTGTTATTTACACAACGTGTTTATAACACAATGAGTTTTTGACATTAAAACGTCAGAAATATATGTTAAACTGAAAAATTCACGGTTTTCTGTAGTTGAAAAAATTCATATATGCTTTAAAACGATTAAAAATAACAATTAATATATCCTGGTCCAATATAGATTCTTCATTTTCCCTTCGATTCGTTAACATACATAAAATGTAATTTTCATTTTTGTTTAAAACACAGTATGTAAAAAACACGTCGTGTTAATAACACATTGTGTAAAAAGCTGTGTGTGTCAACAATTATTTTCACATTTTAACACTTTTGTTTTTCACACATATGTCAAAAACTTTGCTCACACTGTAAAATACAATTTTACATGTTTTTAACATGTGTGTTAAATTCCGAATTGACAGGTTTCCTCCTTGCTGTTGACAAACCCCTGGCTGTTTTACGCCTGGCCGATGGAATTTCCCTAATGCGACAGCATCGCGAGAGCTCCATGCTGGCCATCGGCCTGGAAACATTCAAGGTCTTTGTGGTGGACATGCACACGCGGGTGATCGTGCGCAAGTTCGTCGGTCACACGGCCAAGCTGAATGACCTCACCTTCAGTCCCGACAGTCGTTGGCTGATCACCGCCGCCATGGACTCGACGATCAAGGTGTGGGACATACCCTCCTCCTACATGGTGGATCACTTCCGCGTGCAGACGCCCTGCGTTTCGCTGAGCATGTCGCCCAATGGTGATTTTCTGGCCACCGCACATGTGGGTCTTCTGGGCATTTACCTGTGGGCCAACAAGACGCTCTTCAATCAGGTTTCCCTGCGCTCCATCGATCCCTTGGAGGCGGCTCCCTATGTGGGTTTGCCCACGAACGTGTGCGATGCCATGGAACTGGAGGATGGCATGCAGGAGCTGGAGATTGACGAGGACGAGGACGAATCGAAACTCGGCGAGCTGGTCGATGCCAAGTACGAGACTCCAACTCAGCTCTCCGACGAGTTAATAACGCTATCTGGATTGGCTGCGTCCCGCTGGCAGAATTTGTTGGACTTAGAACTCATTAAGCAACGCAATAAACCCAAGGCGCCGCCAAAGGCACCCAAGCAGGCTCCCTTTTTCCTGCCCACCGTTTCGGGACTGGAGCTGCGATTCGATGTACAGAATGGCGAAAAGGAGGAGGGCAACTCCCGCATCCGAAAGGCTTCTACGCTCAATAATCTAACCGCCTTTGGCCAGCTGCTGGAGGAAACATCCGATAGCCTGGATTTCGCACCCGCTGTGGCGCACTTGACCCAATTAGGTCCCTCGATGGTGGACTTTGAGATCAAATCACTGCACCCCGAGGCTGGGGGAACACTGCTCGCCATGCTGCAGTTCCTCAAACTTGTGGAGTTCATGTTTGGTACCAATCTGAACTTTGAGCTGGCTCAATCCTACCTGAGTGTCTTCCTGCGATCCCACGGTCTCGGATTGACGGAGTCCGCGGAGTTGGTGAAGGCGCTGCGCAGTGTTGCCCAGGTGCAGCAGGAGGCTTGGCGGCGAGTGGAGGAGAAGCTGATCTACGGCACTGGAGTTGTGGCTGCACTCCGGAACTTTGCGCATTAGATAGTACTAGCATCTACAAGAATGTTTTGTAGTAGAGTTAAACTGGAAATTTTGTAAATAAATTTACAAGACCTTTTAAGTAATGGCGTTATTTATTTCCCTCCCTTTGTGTGAGATTTTGCTAAGAGGAATTTGTTTTTAAATTAAACTAAAATATTGATTAAATCTAATATTAATTCTTTCTTTGACCCCCACTATTTAATTGTCTTAAAATGGCTAATAAGTCTATTTAACAAGTTTACTGATCAGTGATTACTAATCACCTTGTGAACAAATATTTGAAAAACATCATGAGCCCACAAATATCTTTCACAGGCACCGTAATCATTATAAGTGAAAAAATAAAAAACTAACTGAGTGATATTTCTAAGCAAAATAATATCGGTCACAAAGTAATCATATTTTTTTTCGCTTACAAAATAATCATTAAATGGAGATTTTTATTTTATACTCAAAAAAAAAAAAAAATCATTATTTTCGGTCCCTGATCTTTCATATATTCACATTCATTGTGACTATTTAAGTCCCTTGCAATTTAACAAAGTTATTCAGGAGAAGACGCTAATTCAGAACACACTATCAAATTTTTTTTATAGGGTAAATAATACTTTCTTCTTTACTTTACGAGTAAGGAATATACATTTAAACGATAACTAGCTAAATGTCATATCCAAAACTATCCCCTCTTTACTTTTAATCTACAACAAATCCCAGATAGCAGTTTAAATAATTTACCCAGAAAAGTGGCCACCTGAGAATTAATCACGCTAGGCACTTTTACGGCTGCTATATGCCAGATATCTCCAATTGGCATTAGGCAAGTGATTCACACCCCAGATGACTGTGCAGCTATTATGGAATCAACAGATAACAGGGGCAGGTGAAACTGGAGGCAGCTACGGGAAGAACAAAGTACAGCGATTGGGTTGAAATTGTGTATTAATTATTTATTTGTTATATCCGTTTAAACTAACGCTTTTATTTATGCTGGAATTAAATAACTTAAACTTGTTCCTAGACGCGTTCGCTGGCTTTCGCGACTTTTAGATACGGTTCTAGTGGCGGCTGATTTTCAATTTCAGTTTAGTTTAGTTTCAGTTTCCGTTTTCGATTCTTTGACAATCCAACGCAACATAAACGAAAAGAAAAAAATGTTCCATTGGTTTACAAACAACCACGCGTTATAGACATAGTGCATATATCTGATAAGTTCCTTTGATTTATACCTAAATATCGTAGCTTGCATGAAATAACTTTAGATCTCGATTGGTTGGGTCTCCTAGTGTGTGTGTTGGATGGTGTGTTTAGGTTTAGGTGCTTTTGGGAGTTCTTCGGCCATTGCAAGCGCAGTTACAGTGTTCCGGGAGCTGGTTTACATATTATTACTGCTTGTTGATTGGGGGTATTATTAGGGGGTGTGTGTGTGTGTGTCCGGGGGTGCAACACGCAGCGGGGGCGCTTAACTCGATGTGCACTGCTGGACGCGGGGGCCATCCTGATAGCCGCCATCGTCCTCATCGTAGGCCATGCGCTGGTGTTGCTGACGGCGCTGCTTGGGATCGAAGTCCTCCTGAAAAATCAATCGATAAATTAGCAAAATAATTAAAATAGTCTAAAGGGTATTGAAAACTAATATCATCTTATGCTATAGAAACTTTTGGTCTAGGGTCTGATTATGTTAATTTCTCTAGCAAATAACATTAATAGGTGCACAGAAAAAAATATGGTAATGGTCAATTTGATATTTTTTAAAGATCAAGTTATTAATATCATTTTGATATGAATAAAGATTATGTTAATCTTTTTTTATATTATTTGCTCAAAAAATACTAAATTTGGTATTTTTATGATATGATAAAACATCATGTTGATATGTTTTTGAATTTGTATTGATATTCTACTCTTTCTTTTTTACAATTCCCATTTAAAATACTCACCAAAACCGTCTGCTCTGCATCGATTGGAATGTCAACCTCCGGCGCCGGTGGCAGGCACTGTTTCAGCGTGGGCACCACCGATGGATTCATCACCTCCGGGAAGATCACCTCGAACTGAATGATCAGCGTGCCCTTCTCCATGGGGTTCTTGAAGATGGGCATGCCCTCCTCGGCAATGCACTTGGTCATCTCGTGCCTGATGACCTCGCCGGGCTGCGTGGACACAATGAGATCGCGATCGTCCAGCGTTTTGACGATTCGCTGGAATCCGCAGAGCGCCTCGACCAGCTGCAGCGGCATCTTCATCATCAGATCCTGTCCGGCGTGCGCGAATGTCGCGTGCTCCTTCTCGTCCAGCAGAATGATAATATCGCCCGGTTGAGATTCCGGCTCGTGATCGCCCTCGCCCGTGAACACGATCTTCTGCCCGTCCCGCATTCCCTTCTCGATGTGCACCTCGAGCACCTTGCGCTCCCGCACCGTCTTGCGTCCGCTGCAGTTCTTGCAGCGATCCTTCTCCTGAATGGTCTCGCCCGTGCCCGAGCACTTGCGGCACACCTGCTCGATGTGCTGCATGATGCCGGGAGCGATCTGCTGCACCCGGGTCTCCACACCGTTGCCCCGGCACTGCATGCACTTCTCGATGCTGCCCTTCTTGCCGCCGCGACCCTCGCACTTGTCGCAGATCACGTTCTTCTGCAGCTGCAGCTTGCGTGTGGCTCCGTTGTACAGCTCCTCCAGCTGCACGGACATCTGGTGAACCACGTCCTTGCCGCGTCTCTCGCGCCGCCGTCCACCGCCGCCGCCGCCGAAACCGGCGCCGAAGAACTTCTCAAAGAAGTCCATGGGGTTGCGGAAGTCACCGGAATCGGCACCGCCCTTCTTGATGGCCGCCTCGCCGCCATCGTCGTACACCTGACGCTTGTCCGCATCCGAGAGCACCTCGTACGCCTGCGAGATGGCCTTGAATTTCTCACCCTCGTTGGGGTTCTTGTCGGGATGGTACTTGAGGGCCAGCTTGCGGTACGCCTTCTTCAGCTCGTCGGGCGTGGCATTGGGCTTCACGCCCAGCAGATCGTAGTAACCAGTCTCCTTGACCATCTTGTAGGCTGTTTACTGCAATTGGAGGAGGGTGTGTGAAGATTACTACCAGGGATCCAGTAAAATTAAGGATTCAGGAATGGGAAAGTTTTAAAATTTTACAAAATATTACGAAATATTTATCATATATTTTATGTAGGTCGGAAATTTAAATAATTCCGACGTTTTTCACATTTATTAAATGGGCAAGTACTGTATAAACTTGATTATTATATAAGGTGGATTATAAAAAAAAACCGGTAATCTAAACTCCTTTTACCATAACATGACTTGCAAGTTGGAAATGACCAAAATTATAGATCCTACACATATTACTCATCACAAGCGCTATATGAAAATTTTTTTTTACAACTATTCAGAATTTTGAGATAGGGGTAAAAACATGTTTTAATCTTAAAAAAATACACATTCACTAAAATTTTTGTTGTTAAAGCCCTTTAAGACTTGTTTATTGATTTCTACAGCTCCCGTCTCGATTTCAACAGCCATTTTTCTCAGTGCAAATTGGAGGAAGCGGTTCGCAGGGGGGGGACATTCCCGGAAGCTAGAGCCCGGGTTTCAAGGTCGTATCGCCGCCATGTGTTTGCGAAAATAACTGCGACGTTTTCTTGCCGATTTCTAGAACATTTTTCGTATTTCAATACGGCGAGCAGCTGACGCTCTCTTTCCCTCTGCCACCCCCCTCTCGCCAACACCCTCTCCTCGCTCCCTCCCTTGCGCACTCACACATACACACAGTTTCTAGAAAATTTCGTCAGCGCATGCAGCCCTGGTTTCGCGAACGGCGACCTCAAAGGGGAGAGCGTGATAATGGAAAATGGGCAAGAGAAAACCAGACAAAAGGGGAAAGGGCAAAGTGTCGAAAATAAAAATGGAAATCAATTCAAGAGGCGGCTATCGATTAAGCAAAGCAAATCAATGGCTAAATGATATATTTTTACCAAAGAAAGTGGGAATACATATTTACACAAACGTGCGCTGGTGTGGGTACCAACATGTGCCGCGCAAGACGCTGCGTCAGAATAATTCGATTGAACAAAGAAGGAGAGGCGCAAAACCAGAGAGCCATCGATTTTGCAAATCTAAGGCCAAAATCGAAGGGAATTCTCTGGCAAAAAACAATTATCGCTGATTACTTAACGGTAAAGAAAAAGAATCAAGCGAAAAGGAAGTGTGTCTACCAAGTACACGCACACACACGCACACAACAGCCTCACTCATTTGAACAATGCGAAGCGAAATGTGCAAAATCAGGTGGAAATCGAAATTAAGCCACCGCAGCGCCACTCACCTTTTCCTCGTGTCGTATCGTGTCTAAAGCAAATGGAGACTTTTGCAACCGGGTTCCTTGAGGTTACACTTTTACAATAATTTTAATTCACGTCGAATACTTTTCAACAGCTTACTATGGCCGCCACGCTAGGAAGAAAATTCGGAACGGAGCCGGTGTGACCAGCGGGGCGAGAGTGAGAAAACACCAGGGTACTTCAAAAATACACTAAAATATGCACTGCTCTGCGGTAGAATTTTATCGTCGACCCAAACCATGGATGGAAAGTCACTCGAAAATATAATAAAATGTAATATAATTAATTAATTAAGTAGGTTAGTTATGAAACTTTATAAATATGGATATTTTACAAGCTATTTTGGGAATTCGATATATTTTTTCATGCAAAAATGTTTATGGGTTTCCCTAGACTTAATCCCATATAAACTAATTTTAATTAAATTCAAAAATGTATGAAAATACATGACTTAATTCTTAAATTAAGTTTGCTTAAATTTTATTTCTAGCTATTTTTTTAATAAAATTTATTGGCAACACTGTTAAAACCCGGTGTTTTCCATCAGCTGTTTCGCGTTTGCTAAGTGGTCACACTGTTTTGAAACTTGATTATTTAATAAACATTTGCAATTGATTTTATGAAATAAAACCCGACCGCCCAAATGAGACACGTGCAATTTCTGGCCCGCACCGTTTTGGTGCAAAACAATAATGTGGAGGAGGCGTGTCGTCTGTTGAATCGCGTTTTGGGCAAAGAGGAACTTCTCGACCAATTCCGCCGCACGCGATTCTACGAAAAGCCCTATCAGGTGGGTTTCTAAATAATAGTGTATATTTACATATTTATAATTATTTAATTTTTTTCTTAGGTCCGTCGCCGAATCAATTTCGAGAAGTGCAAGGCCATCTACAATGAGGACATGAACCGAAAAATTCAGTTTGTGTTGCGCAAAAATCGCACCGAACCCTTTCCCGGATGCAGTTAGTCGCTTGTTATTGTCTTTATTCGGTAATAAAATGTAAGAAATGAAAATAGTGCTTTTATGGGTCAAATCATTCAAAAATGGTATTGAAAAGTCTGATGTTAATTTAAATTTACATACTTATAAAGAAAAAGACTTCTAAAATTTTGAGTTTTGGATTTCTTTTGTGGTATACTTAATGGTGTATTGAAATGTAGCCCGTTCTCTAGTTTATTTTTCTGACTTTATTTCAATTTATCTAAATCGCATACAAATTTACTTAATTTTCACAATCATCTGAATATTCAAACACAGATTTTTGGGGAATAAATTTCCTTTTTAACTCCCTGAGGCATTTGTTTGGGTCCTTAAATAAACTTTTTGGCTTACTGTGCCACTTTGACTTAAAAAATGAATTTATCCATGGAATATACTTTCTGGTTTTTGTGTAAAAAGAAGGATGATTTTTCCCATGGCCGATTTTAAAACCATAGGAAATGATGCCGGCTAAATATGTGACATTTTTCTTCTTCCACTGCATGATGGCCATCAGAGGACCCCCAGAATCACCACTCACACTTCCAACCTCGTCGCCACCTGCACAGATTTGCGTGCTATAGTCGAACGCCTTCAATTCTTTACACTTCGTATCACTTGGATGCCTTTCCTGAAGGAAGATGAATACTGGACTGTGGTTTCCCCAGCCGGCTGCTTCAAATATGCGGTTATAAGATGTATTTTGGCTCTGGTCCGGAAGACAAATCGGATAGATGGCGCCCGAATAACTAAAACAGACAACAAATATACAAATTTAAATATTGAGAAACTACACATAGATTCAAATAAATATCGATATAAACCAGCTGATGACGTAACTTATGTTCTTTAAAATTATACGTCAATTATAAAGAATGCCTTCTTATCGTATCAATTTACTGAATCCTGGAAATCATTACTCACCGTACTGGAATTTGGAGTCGCAGCAGAGCGATGTCATTTTTATAATCAGTTCCATGGTTGAATTTCCCATGTACAATACTCAGATCAACATGGATTTCAACATAAGGGGGCGCCTTTAACCATCTACCATTCACATAGCCTTCGTCGGGATTGGTGGCGGTATTATGTTCGCCCAGACGCACTCTCTTCGGGGGGCCGATACTAGGATTTCCAGGATCTCTGACACAGTGGGCTGCGGTCAGAACGTACCAGTTGTTAATCAGGGAGCCCCCACATCCGGGCTGCAGTTGCTTAGTGAAACTATTCCAATACAGAAGCATCGCCATCCAGGGAAACTCTTTCAGTCCCGCCTTTCTGCCTTCTGTTCGATTTCCTCCGCGTCCGCACCCATTTATTGGCAGGAAGTTTGGTGGCCTCGGGCAGCAAAAAAGTTCTGACGCCCCGGTTTTTGTAGTATCGCCGCAACTTCTTTTTGATATTGTATTCTTCGTATCTAAACTGGAGTTATAAGCGGCATACAAGTGGGGGCACTGATCCAGGCTTTTACATGTCTCACCGGATTTACAAGGTTGGGATCTGTGTTGATCCGAAATCGCTGAAATAAAAATTCTAGATAGTAGAACCTTTGATAAAAGCCTTATCTTTAAATTTTATTTTTATTAACTTTTTCTTGAGGCACTTAAAAGGGCGAAACATTTTAAAAATTCCAGTGTTGTATTTTTATTTTTTTTTTTTTAATACATATCTATTTATAGCAAGGACTCCGTTTCCTCTTCTTTAATTACCTAATTCAACTAAATGAACCAAAATAAAAGTATGCAGCAGGAGCAAAATGTTCACTTTGATTTCGATGAACATGTTAATCCGTGAATGTTTGAAATAAAACTGTTGCTTCTATAGTTATTGGCAGCTGTTTATGCTTGAATTTATTTTGTTGCTACAATCTTTAAGTTGAGTAATACTTTTCGGGCGTCCCCAAAAATTACATTTATTATTGCTCACTGATAATTATCAACAAAGTTTTTTAAAATAAATAGTATTTACTTGCTGACAAAGTTATCAAATATTTATCCAATTGCTCGTAGAGAAAAAGGGTATATTATATTCGAGGGAAAAATTTGAAGAATGCCTTTTTGACCCTAAAAATTCTTCGCCTTTGCATCTTATAAGTCTCCATCTCCTGTGTGTGTTTTTAATTTTATTTTAATTTCCGAATAAGGAACTGTAAATGCATCAATGTTTTTTAAATTTGTAAGATGGTAACGGCCATTTGGGTCCTTTTTTCTCTCTTTGAGAATAGCTTTGGGAGCTTTTATTATGCCGGAGAGAGATAGAGAGAGAGCTTTTGGTTATGTGGTCTCCGTTTTCTAACGGTGTTCGGCTTAGAATACTTTCTTTCCTCGAGCGCAGCAGACGCGTTTTCATTTTCTTATAACCAGAAATCTAAGAGGTAAAACAGAATTTCCTCAGCCAGAAGTTTTGTCGATTTTTGGTGTCGTGTTTAAATACTTAGTATAAGAAAAGTTAGCACAGTTTTTCGGGAACTTTCTTTCTAGCTTTCTTTTTTATTAGTTCGATAAACTGCATTGTTTTATGTGATTGTGTGGGTGTGAAGTGGCAAGTGCAGATAATTGGGATATTCTCCGGTGGCCCTTTAATTCGATGGATTCCCAAACGTGCCTAAGTGCTCCCCGAATGCATCGATAAGTCGCTCATGCGGCCAATTTACTCAATTTACACTTGAGCTCTCGTACGTGTGCTTGTGTGTGTGGGTGTGTGTTTTTCGCATTCGCTTCAAAGTGGGCATGTGATTTTGTGTTGCCTGCTTCTTGGCGTTTTTTATTATTTTCCACTGCTTTTGTTGTTCTCTTATCGATTTCTTGTGTTATTTTTAGCGTGATTTGCATATGTATGTGCGTGCTTTCTCCCTCGCTCTCCCTTTTCCCCTGTGTGAGTGTTAGTGTTGTTTGTGCTTGTTTTTGCGCTTCCTTTACTGTTTCCTTTGTGTTTGTGCGTGGGTTTTCTTTTTGGGTAATCGAATCTTGGCTGCTTATCAAATGAATTACGTCTTGTGTCACTTTCAGTTTTCGGGCCAAATCAACATGGCGACGAGGAATCTGTTGGCCATCCTTCTTTTGGCCAGCATCTGCATGGCCCAGGCGTATCCGGCTTTATTGCCCTACATCTACAGTGAGTACCGCACTTTAGTTTTCTCCCTCTAAATTGCTAATTTGCATTCAAACCGGTAGAGATTTGAGCACAGAAAGCCGAAGATTATAAACCCTTGCAGCTATATATAATAACTATTATAAGTACCTCTTTCCTTAAACGGTTAAAAAAAATATTTTATTATTTATTTATTTTAATTTGAAAAGGTAATTTTAAACTTTTCGATTAACTTGAAAAAGATTGTGGTAATAGTAAGTTGTAGTAGTCAGGTAAATCGAATCAGATGATTAAATTAAAATACTATTTCATTATAATTATTTTTGACCTTATTATTCTAACAGCAAAAAGTATCTATGAGAATTCGCACTAATCTGAACAAAAACCGAAAAATTTTTTGTTGTGTTTTATGCTTTTATACTTTTTAAAGAAAGCATTACTTTTAAATTAAATTTTTGTATATCCCCCTTATTAAGAAATCAATTATTATTTATTGTTATTGATGTATAGTAAATATACAGGGATTTGGCAATACCTCAATGCTTTTTGTATCGGTATACCGATACTATAGTATATTAATTCGATCGCGTGGATAACTTACCATTTACCAAATCAGATCCTTCCAAGCGTAGCAGCGGTGACACGGCCTTCCCCCAAATCGAGGACGATGTGAGTGAGCTGGACCAGTTGCGAAATGAACCGGGGGCGGTGGTGGCCAAGCGGCAGCACGACGGAAGCACCGCCCGCACCACCACAACCACCAAGGAGAGCGTCGAGGAGGTGGCTGCTGTCCCCGAACCTGGTCCAAATCCCAATTCGAATATTATGCCCGATCTGGAGCGACAGCTGGAGGTGGCCACGCCTCTAATTTCGACCACCACAACCACCAGCACCTCGGCGACCACAACCACGGCCACTTCCAAGGAGGAGGGCGAAAGGTCACAGCTGGAGGAGCCAAAGACCCAAATCAAAACCGTTGTGGAGCCGACGGCCCATGCCAAGGTAAGTAGCTAGACCCCGATCCCCGCTAGAATCGTCCTTTGGGCCGCTTGGTAAACTCCAAACTCCTCTTTTGCCAAATCCAAGTGTATATCTACGAAACCACCCAAAAATCAACAGGCTTTTTACGGGGCGGCTCGTCTAGCTTTTGGCCAAAATCCAGAGGTGCTACCAACAACCACGACCACAACCACATCCACCACCACCACCACCACGACAACGACTGCAGCTCCTCCTCCGCCTCCTCCTCCAGCCGAAACCGAACCGGAAGCCGATTCCCAACCACCAGCCGAAGCGGAAGTTAAAGAGGCAGCGGAAACGGAAGAGAAAACAGCTCAAGATGTGGCCGGAGAACCAGTTGAGGCAGAGGATCCCATCGGCGAAGTGGCCGAAACCGAACTGGACGCCCTAAATCCGCCAAAAGCCAAGCCGAATCACCACGAATCGAACAAGGAGACCATCGGAGACATTGTCTTCGATGTGGTGGCCCGAACCACGGAGCGAAGGTCCAGCACGCCCAAGATCACGGCCAAGGTTCTTATAGCAAATCACAGATAAATCATTCAACACTCGGAAAATATATTGGCTACCCCATGATCAAGACCAGAAAACTCTAAAATTTATTGGCAAAACTCTAGAAAACTTCTAATCAAAATTGATTTATTAAAGATTAATATCGGTTTTATTATTGGCAATAAAAAAATTGTTTTTTAAAAATCTTAACCAACTAACTATATAAACTTTAACATTTCCTCACCATTTCCTTTAAAAAGCTCTCATTTCTTTTATAGTTTAGTGCTTTGAAAAGTTATAAAACGCTTTGTTTATAATTTGTTTTTCCAGACCGCCAAGAACTTGCTGCGTAGTCCAAATGGCCAGTACTCATCGTTTGACATGGCTCAGTATATTTTTTGGACTGGAGATGAGACAGCTGTGGTAAAAGCTGTGGAAGAACTTGTTGAGGGAGAGGTGGTAAGTGGCAAATAATTACGTTCTTTTTAACCCTTTTCAGACCATATATAATTGACCGTTTAATATAATAAGACAGTTTAGTTTACTTATTTTTGGGCTGGATTTTTTATTTTAATTTTGTTTCATTTTTAATATTTTAAAGTACTTCTTGTTATAAGAACAACTTCTCAAGCAGAGATCACATCAGATGACTAATTTGGTTGGGGTCGGTCTTAAGCCTTTGGTGTAGTTGACGTCTGTTCAGATTGCAGGGTATAATTTCATAATTATATTTAGTCTTTCATCGCCTCGTAGTAATAGTGACTGAATCCATGGGTCTTTATGAGCGGAGGTCCAAAATATTGATGACATTTTGGCGGGCCATGGTGGTGGTGATGGTGGCTGCCAAATGGTGGGCCACGATGGTGGTGGTGTCCATGATGTCCATGATGTCCATGCTGATTCCAATGATGTCCGAAAGCCCAGTGATTTCCATGATGTCCATGATGTCCATGGTGTTCATGGGGGTCCTTATGATGACCACAGTGGAACATTCCAAATTTGCGATTTTCTTTTTGTGGAGCTTCCATAGTTAGCTGTTTTGTTTCGATTTGTTTTAATCACTTGTTTTTTGTTTTAAATTCAGAGAACTTCTCTGTTTGACTGTCGAAGGTGAACTGATTTCTCACGGCTAAGCAAAAGCTTTTATATTGTGCTCGCTACAAAATTTCGACTGGCCAAACATTCAGCGATAGCAATGTGTTTTTCATTTTGCTATCTTATCAAGAAATATAGCAAGCTTTATTAGAGTTAGAAATATTGCAATAATTTTGTGTAATTCTCATATATAGTAAACAAGTTAATTACTTTTATTAATAACTAAAATTAAATAGCGTTCATAATAATTTCATTCATGACTACAAATATTGCATAATTATTGTGCAGGTCATCGCTATTTCTCAGTTTTCACATATAGGGGTTTAGAAATATAGAATTATTTTGGCGTAATTTTTTTTGTTTATCGTTTAGTATACAAAACATTTTTTTAATAACGCTTTCATAATTGACTTGTATTATTGCTTCATTTTTGTATGCCATTTATTTTTACACATTTTTCCTATTAGTAATATATTACGGTATTGGCGTAATGGGTTTTGTTTATATTTAAGAATACTATAAATAGGTGGTATATTAAATATGGCAAACCTTATTTTAAACAATTTCATTCATGACTAAAAATATTGCTACGTAGTGTGTAATCGCTAAATCTCAAGTTTTGAATTTCCATTTATTTCTGACTTTCTATAGGGTTAGTAATAATCTACTTTGCTGTTGTAATTTGTTTGTTTGTACTTAAGTTTAGTGTGTTTTTGTTTTCATTTAAGATTAGAAATACTGTTACTCTTCGACGTAAATGCTATGAGCAATATTTTATTTTTAGACAACCGGTTTGCTTGAAACGATTTTATCGCTCAGTTTAGCAGCACTTGTATTATTTCTACGATGATATTTGTAAAAAGGTTTGCTGTTGTATATAATCTTCGGCCCAAATAATAAAGCTCTCAAGCCTAATAAATAATTCAAGGGTAAAATCTTTTATTTTGCAGATTACCCGGGAGAACGCTCTGAAATTCCTGCAGGACATTCGCCTGGGAATAGAGTTCTTGCAGAGGTCCTACGCCAATCGAATTTTCCCCGAGGAGGTTCGCCAGAATCAATTAAAGCGCCACAGCCCTCCCATGACCACGCCCCCAATTACATCCACAACTACAACAACGACAACAAGCACAACCACAGAAAAGCCATTTCCAGAAGTGCACGAATCCGGTTTCGAATCAGGAATCGCCCGAGGAGCCGGAATCCAGCCCGCGAAGAACTTCGATAGTTTTACCTTCTGGAACAAAATCAAAGTGTTGGACAGCGAAGCTCAGCAAGGTGGGAAATACGCAGCATCATTAATATATTCCGAACTCATATCCACATGCACTATTTAAATATTATATAATTTTATCTTAATCCATAGATTTAAATGACTATGACGAGGGTCGGGCTAAGATTGTGGAGTACTTGTACAATGAATACTCCCTGGAGGAGATTCTCTACAAGCTGGCAAAGGTATTTAAAAAAAATGTTTAGCATTAACGTTTTTAATCATTGGTATTTTATTTTAAAGGTAATGTTTGCCCAGTCGCTTTCTCATGGATCTGATGAGGCCCAAATGGAGCTGCAGAAGCTCACCGAATTTCTAGAGCGCGAGGGTAACATGGGTGTTATACCCATTGACTTGCAAAAGAAAGTTTTAAGTGAGTAATCCATTAAATTTATTAAGAAAAATCGTTGATTTGATTTGGGAAACTATGAAATAACCAAAGAAAAAGATACATCGCACAATTCTAATGAATTATTTTTATGAAGATTTTTACAAATCACTATCCATAAATTCAATTTAATATTTTTATAATTTCAGGAGTGCTGCTCAGCGCATTGTCGGACACTCTGACCGAGCATCCGGAATTGCTGCCGGCGGCGCGGGTTAATCTGGCCAACCCGTTTTATAGGCTTCCAATGCATACACCCAGCCAATAGAGATATATTGGCGGGCTATCAGATTAATACAAATCCCTATATAAATATATGTTAACACGCATAATCCGCATCAGCTAAATGGCATATATCCACTGATCGGCGCTACTCTAAGAAGGCGCTCTCTCGGAACTTTGATTCAACTCGGCCCTAAGTTCACCCGATCGATTGGCACCTTTTCACTTTGGTTAACGGATTAGCCTACGTGTAATATAGCAAAAAAAAATACTCTCGTGATATTTTCTGGTCAAACGGAGGCGAAGTTTGGATGCAGATGCAGAGAACGAACCTTTTACACTTACGGTACGATAAGAAAATCAAAAAACAAAATGAAAAACCAAAGTAACCGAACCAAAAAACAAAACAAAACTGATGAGAGAGACTTGCGCCCCTTTGAGCTTTTAAAATTAAAATAGACTATCTACATGTATATGTCCACGGTATGCATACGAATTGGCACACTTGCTTATATTTGATATGAGTTTGTTAGTTAGATACATTGAGATTGATTGAGGTTGAGGTCGCTGGCAAAATCGATGGGCCGCCACGGACGACCGATTGAAGCAGGAAAGGGCTCTGAGTCCGCCTATATCAGTAGCTAATATGGTTATAACCGCTCCACAGACGAGCGACTGTCGTAAATAGTTATTACTCTATAATATGTTCTCCCCCGAATAATTGAGCATTGCATGCATTATTGATGGATTGGTTAAACGATTGATTGTGTTGCGAGTTACATATACGATATGCAATTAAGAACTAGAACCTGTATCAACAAATTATCGATTATACACTCAATATACATAAATATATATATATATATATATAAAATATGTGAAAAATCTATTTATTTAATCTATTGATCCTTCTTGGGCTCCGGTTTCTCTGCCTCTGTTTCTGGCCGGTCGAGCAACTGGTTAATGCGTTCTTCTGTTATCGGTTCATTGCTATTGAAGAGTTTCTCTATTTCGGCCCTCTCATCGTCGCCTATGTCCTTGGCATAGAGTTTGGCCAGTTCTTCAAGGCGCTGTTGGTTCTTCTTCAGATGTCCGGGTAGCCAGAAAATAGTCTGCACCATTCTGAAATATATAAAGGGATTCGATTGTTATTGTTTACTATATCAGGACTTCTTTATAAGATTTTTTAAAGGCTATAGAATGCACTTACTTGAGAAGTACAAATCCACAGACGGCCAAAAGCAGGCACATCCCGGATGTCTTAAACATGGTAAAATAGTCCACCGTCACTTGTTGGTGCTTCATTTTCAAAATCCTTGGATCTTCACTCCACTCGAGGCTGAATTATGGCTTGAACTGTCATAAGTATCCTGTTCGGTATGAACTTGTCAATGTTGTGGCCACGTCGTCAGGGGCAGCCGGTTAAAGAGATACGTGTATTATAGACCACTCGGCAGACCAATCATATGTGGCCACTAGAAATCGATATCACACTCGTCCTGATTTGATGACCCGACTATAAAGCGGAGCTGACCTGCTAACTGGAAAATAGTTGCTGCTAAACGCGTGTTGCATGTTGCCGGCGACACCAGCAACATGTTGCTGTCGCGGGCTCAGCCATTTTATTGTTTTCATTCGCAATCGCACTTTCTATTTTTAAAAGTTATCTCTTGCGAATTACGTATTTGAAAATATTTGTAAGAATGATATGGCTTATTAAACAGAGTGAACTTGAGGATACCGTCATATTAATAATATGTTAAATATTTATTTACCTTAAGTTCAGATAATGTTTAGAAACAACGGATAATATAGTTTTCTTGTCTTTTAAAATTTGTTAAATTGTAATTAAATAAATCTCTTTATATCAGGATAATATAAGAGCAATACGCCTTCAAACTTTATTTGATTAGTGGGTACCAAAATAATTGGAAAATGATAACAAAATCAGCAGTTTCGTTGGGGGGTTTGGGACTTCTTAGATTGTAAATTAAGGTACCGCGATTTCAATCAGAACAAGAAGCTGATTAGGCCAGCTGTATCTATCTGTCTTATATATTTCACTGATTTCGTGGGGGTCGAAAAACGCCAATAAATCTGATTGCGGGCTATCAAAAGATAGATAGTATTCAAAAGGCTATAAAAGCTGGGATCCCGAACCACTGGGAACATAGTAGAGCTATGAAAGAAGGAACGTTAAAAGTAACCATTTTGCTTGTCGGTTTAGGCCTGGCATTGGCCGGTACTCGGCCTATTTCCGATTGCGTAAGTATTATAAGTAAAAGTATTTAAACTATTAATGAAAATATTACTAGCCACTTATTATTTTACATCAAAAGAAATTATAATTAAACGAAATTAAAAATCAGAATCACATTCTTGATATGGATATTGTACTAAACATTTTTAATTGGAATCTAGAATATATATTATTTTATTCAATTTATGTCGCAAAATAGAGAATTAATATATTAATAGTATACTATTATTTTTATTTCCCTAGGGCGAGCGCATTGAGGACGATGGCTATCCGATGGAGCGTCACGTGGTGACCACCAGTGACAGCTACATCCTGACCATGCACCGCATCCCCTATTCCCCCAAAACAGGCGACACTCCCGATCGTCCGGTGGCCTTTCTCATGCACGGCATGCTCAGCTCCTCCTCTGACTGGGTGCTCATGGGTCCGGAGCGATCCCTGGCTTACATGTTAGCGGATGCCGGCTATGATGTGTGGATGGGCAATGCCCGTGGCAACACCTACTCCAAGGCGCACAAGTACTGGCCCACCTACTGGCAGCTCTTCTGGAACTTCAGTTGGAATGAGATCGGCATATACGATGTTCCGGCCATGATTGATTATGTCCTGGCCAAGACCGGTCAGCAGCAGGTGCAGTATGTGGGACACTCGCAGGGCACCACGGTCTACCTGGTGATGGTGTCCGAGAGACCCGAGTACAATGACAAGATCAAGTCGGCCCATCTGCTGGGACCCGCCGCCTTCATGGGCAACATGAAGAGCCCCATGACCCGTGCCTTCGCCCCCATTCTCGGCCAGCCCAATGCCATTGTGGAGCTGTGCGGATCCATGGAGTTCATGCCCAGCAGCAAGTTCAAGCAGGACATGGGCATCGAGATGTGCCAGGCCACGTCGCCCTATGCCGATATGTGCGCCAACGAGATCTTCCTCATTGGAGGCTACGATTCCGAGCAGCTGGACTATGTGAGTATTATTATATACAACCCTAGTCAAAAGTGTTTTCACAACTTTGAAAGTTAACTGTACTCATATTTTGAACTTATAATGTAAATATTTTGGCCCCTATGGAAAGAGCACTTCAATTCCGTTTAAATGACACAACAATTTTCTTAGCCCATTAAGCACCCTTTGAACAGTGAGCAAATTAGACAAATTTTTTTGAAAGTCAAATTTTCAACTTTTTCCCTGGGGCTTAAAAGAAAAATGTTTTGATGAAAAGTTGTTCCCCAATCAAAATTAATAATAACTGAAAAAAAAATGTTAAAATATTTTTCCTTGTAGTTTTTATGATTTTTTGAAAATAGCTATTTTAGCCGCTTTTTCTTCACTGAGAAGATGTCTCCATTCAAAAAATCATAAAAAATACAAGGAAAAATATTTTGGAAATTTTTTTTGCAGTTATTATTAATTTTGATTGGGGACAACTTTGCATCAAAACATTTTTGATTTAGGCCCCAGGAAAAAAGTTGAAAATTCAACTTTCGCAAAATTTGCTCACTTTTTCACTTTGTCATTTAAACGGAATTGAAGTGCTCTTTCTATAGGTGCCAAAAGTTTATATTATAAGTTCAAAATATAAGTACAGTTAACATTAACATTTGTGAAAATACTTTTAACCACCCCTGTATATTTAATATATTATATATTTTATTTTAAATTTTCTGTAATTATTCAGGCCCTTTTGGAGCATATTAAGGCCACCTCGCCAGCTGGCGCCTCTGTTAACCAGAACCTGCACTTCTGCCAGGAATACAACTCCGGCAAGTTCCGTAAATTCGACTACACCGCTCTTCGCAATCCCTATGAGTACGGCAGCTACTTCCCCCCGGAATACAAGCTAAAGAACGCCAAGGCCCCGGTTCTACTGTACTACGGTGCCAATGACTGGATGTGCGACGTCAGCGATGTCCGCAAGTTGAGGGACGAACTACCCAACATGGCTCTCGATTATCTGGTGCCCTTCGAGAAGTGGGCTCATCTGGATTTCATTTGGGGCACTGAGGCCAGGAAATATGTCTACGACGAGGTCTTGAAGCAGATGCGGTCCTACGAATAGGTTTATTAATACGGCAATAAATTGAACATGTACAGCAAAATTCCTGGATTCACTACTCTATTTCCACTTCGGCTCTATAGGCTAATATGACGGAATCGTCGTTTTTAAGTTTATACTTTATACGATAGTTGCCGGGAGTCATTAGTTTTTTTAGCACACGGACATCCAGTGGATAGTCTTGCAGACGGTAATGTTCCTTGGGCAGAGGACAGGTGCCAGGTCGCGGGGCATTAGAATAGTCCTTGATCCGTTCGTAGAAGAAGTCCTTGTAGTAGGTATTCATAAAGTCACAAAGGTTTACTTCGATCAACAGTATCCTCTCATAACTTTCATCGCCATCCGTAGATCGTGAAACCTTAAATTCTATCTGTTTAGGGAAAGTATAAAATGTGACATTTATAGATTTTAAACCAGTTCTTCTTAACTATTCCTTACCATCCAATCCTTTCCGAGGCGATGATGCAGATTTAGTTCTCCGCTTACTTTCAACACATTTTCCTCAAACTCTGCAATGCGCAGGCGGCTGTGCAGAAATTCTTCTTCCTGGGTCAGTTTCTCCAACTTGGAGATCCTAAGTGTTCTTGCTTGGACCCCGAATGGATTGGTGGCCAGGAGAATGATGCCCAGCAATACCAGTTGCTGAGCTGAACCAGAAGAAGAGCCCATTTCGACAGTTGGATGACTGATGCTTAATCAAATGCTGTCCAGGGTTTATAAGGCTGTGAATAGGGAACCACCGGTATACCAAATTACACCTTGTACCGGAAACAAAAGTATTCCAAATTCCCAGATGTGGTGTAATTGATATCGAGTTGAATTGAATTCTGTTTCGGTTTGTTTTATTAATTTTTTACACGGCAGTTTTAACTCATAAAGCAATAACAAAGAGATCGGTCATTTATTAATCAATTTATTTAATTGCTTAAAACACGTCAATGACTATGAAATCAGATCTGAACTTCATTGTCATTGTCGAGCTCATAAATCTGTAAAATATTTAATACTCTACCTTTCTATAACAGCCTTAAAAAATATTAAACTTTTTATAAACTCTTGTAAATTTTATAATAATAATACTTCAACCTAATTAAGGCTACACATTTGTATTATCAAATATCAAAGGACCCATTATGCATAGGTATTTTTTTTAGCAGAATGGTAACTTTTCAATTGTTTAGGAAAATAAATTTAGTTAAGATGTTTAATGTCGTTTGCTTTCTTATAGCCGAACATTCAGAGAAAAAATATGGTAGCCCCAAGACCGTAGTAAATACTACAAGGTCTTAGTTTAATTCTTAACTTTATACAGATGCTGTCGAGGGTTTATACAGATCTCAGCTTTCTGTATACTAATTTTTTCGCATTTAATTTAAAAAATTTCTGCATTCATTCATACACCTCCAAATAGGTTTATTTATTTTGCAATAAACTGAACATGAACAGCAAAATGGCTGGGTTTTCTAGTCTACTTCCACTTCAGCCATGTAGGACAGTATGACTTTGTCATCGTTTTTAAGTTTATATTTTATACGATATTGCCCAGGAGTCATTAGTTTCTTTAGCACATGGACGTCCAGCGGATAGTCCTCCAGACGGTAATGTTCCTTTGGCAAAGGACAGTTGCCAGGATGCGGGGCGTTTGAGTAGTCCTTGATTCGTTCATAGAAGAAATCCTTGTAGTAGCTCTCCATAAAGTCGCAAACTTTTGTTTCTAGCAAAAATAGCCTCTCATAATTTCCATCTTTTTCTTGTGAAACCTTAAATTCAATCTGTTGAGGGAAAAAATTAGAACTACTTGAAGTTATTTCTTATCTATATTATTATAACCATTTCTTACCACCCAATCGTTGTCAAGGTGATGATGCAGATTGAGTTCTCCGCTGACTTTCAATACATTTTCCTCAAACTCGGCAAAGCGCAGGTGGCTGTGCACGTACTCTTCATCCTGGGACAATTTCTCCAACTTGTGGATCTTAAGTGTCCTTGCTTGGACCCCGAATGGGTTGGTGGCCAGGAGGATGATTCCCAGCAACACCAGTTGCTGAGCTGAACGAGAAGATGAGCCCATTTCGACAGTTGGACGACTGATGATTGATCAAATGCTGTCCAGGGTTTATAAGACTGTGAGTAGGGTACCACCGGTATACCAAATTACAGGTTGTACCGGAAACAAAGGTATTCCAAATAATATCCCCAGATATAATGTGTTAGATATTTAACTAAATTCCGTTTGCATTAAGTTAATGTATTTATAACACGGCAGTTTTAGCACATAAATTGTACATTGACTATACAATTTATTTAATTGCTAATAGCACGGCAATGACTATGAAGTCCGATTAATTTATATAAGCTTATAAAATATTCAATACTCTACCTTTCTACGATGGTCGTCAATATCACAATTCACTTTTACCTCTTAAAGAGCTTTGGTTTTCCTACTGCACCAAATATTTGAACGATCACCAGCCCCATTAAATGCTGAGCCGATCTTGAAGAGGAACTCATTTGACAGGATGACTGATTTTCGATCATCTGCTGTCGAGGGTTTATACAGATCTCAGCTTATCACGAACACGAACTTGTTCAGGGTGTCCCCAGGTATGGTAAAATTGATATCATTTGCGTTCTTGTTTTATTTATATAATGCATGGCAGTCTTAACACATAAAGCAACAATAAGCAGCCATTGATAACGAATTACATTTATTTGCTAACAGCACGGCAATGATAAAGAAGTACGAATCGAGCTTAACTTAAACTTTTCATGCCCACATTTAATAAAACTGAATGTCCTGGAAATCTATTGCTGTCTTACTGAATTGATAATTATATTTAAACTTTAAACTTATTCATGCTAGCAATCAATAATCAACAAATAAATACAAAAAATCTTGGATATATAGTTTTAAAAAAATTATAAGTTTTATTTACTTGAAATCTCCTATTTCATTCTCCACATTTTAGTTTACGTAGAATCGTGACCTTCGATTAGCTACAATTGTTACTCCTTACTGTAGACTATAAAGCAGGCATGAAACGCTTAATAACACATATATTGCTAGCATAAAAGCATCTTTGTTAACAATTGGTATTGGCTATAGCTAAGTTATGTTCGATACTGTAGTGAACGAATTGCAGCTGGAATGTTAGCATTGCTCAAGGGAATCTGCCAGCCAGCTATGGGAGAGTTATTGCCTATTTATGGAATCGATCCCGGTATTCCGATCCCGGCTAGCTCGGTGCGGTGCCAAAGTTGAGACGCAGTTGCTCCAGGAACACGAAGGTGATGATCGTGTGGGGACCCAGGCGCACAAAGGCCGGTACGTAGCCCTTGAAGAACCCAAGGGGTCCCAATTTGGCCGTGTGCTTAACGACATCCCAAAGTCCGGCGTACTCTCCGGGTTTCGCGTTCATCGATCGCGTTTTCAGCACATCCAGCGGCTGGGTCAGAGTGGTGGCTATCGTTCCGGCCACCAGGGAGGCGGTGAAGTGGGTGATCAGGTTGTCGTGGAAATAGGGCGTGGCCAGCAGATAGATCTTTGTCTGGTCGTAAAAGGCAATCTGGCCGATGGTCATCAGGATGCCACGGGCAGTCGCTGTGGTGGCTCCGGAGAAGAGCCGTGCGAATCCCTCTTGTCGGTACACCTTGAACAGTCCATCGAAGGCGTTCTTATAGCTGGAATTTAAGGAATGAGAAAGTTATTAGGTTAGCTATTTCCATTCTATATACTAAGGGCCGTTTTCTCGTCCGTTTGTAATACTTAAAGTAGGGATAAAACCTTGAAATCGTATGGCAAATCAGAGATTTAACACCACTTTAAATTAACCAGGCGGACGAGAAAACGGCCCTAAGGATATTGTAAGGTTAGTAGCATTGCTTTATAGAGATTTAAATGTTTTAAATTTAACTAATGACGAGGTTTCCTATATCTCTTTAAAATCGTTACTGTTTTGAACACCTACTTGCGACGTTGTTCCGGGGGCAGCTTTACATCGTTCTGCATGCGTACATTGACCATGTCCGCGGGAGTTCCCACGATTCCGCCCACGAGGCCAGAGAGTCCGGCGAGTGCCACTTTTCCGGTGAAGGTGTCCGTCCTGACGTAATCCTTTCCGGCCTCGTAGACCCCAAAGCGGGCCGTTGAATAGGTCATTTGCCGTAGCATTGAGGCGGAGAGGCCGTTGTAGAAGACCAGTATCCCCTGTTCGCGGGCAAGTTTCGGGATCAATTGGGCCACCGACAGGTGACCCTGTTGCGTCTGCAGGGTGACCTTGATGAGGTCGAGTGGATGGGTCACCATAGCGGCTCCCACGCTCGCCAATCCGCCGAAGTACCATCTCGCTTTTCTCTCCTGTTTGGCCATCTCGCAACTATAAAATCCTTAGCTGAAAGTTTAAAGAAATAATCAATTAATTAAATGCTTAATGGGGGAAGATTCTTGTACCTATAAAAAGGTGGAACGGCGGCTAAATAGAATATCTTTCGATGGGCGGCATTTTCAGTGGGTCGGTTGCGTTATGTCATGCCGGTGGGCCTTTAAGGAACTGACGGAATTTAAGGACCCAGTAAGAAAACAGCTGGGCGGTTGCGCGAAAGCTCAGCTTAATAGCTTTCGGCGGATGAAAAGCGGTAGCTGTTATCTTGGGCGTAGCCGAAATAAATTATCTTAGGGTGACGGGGGGCAAGAATTATTTAGATTATGACATTATTATCTGTTACTAATCATTATTTTCTTGAAGTTGGCAACTGGGACTTTTTAATATATATTTTAGAACCGCTTTGAATTCCCTATATTAATGACATTAATTTCAAAAACTTCTACGCAAACATTTTTAAATAGGTCCGCATAAAATTGGAATGTATTAAATTAATTTGTTATTTAATTTTATGTGATGGTGTTGGGTGTTATTAATGAACTTACTTGTATCAAAAGTAGTTTAAACAAGTTACCAGTTAAAATCATTATACTCTAATAATTTAAAATTTACGTAAAAACATTAAAAAGGTACGATTACAATTTAAAAAATGGCATATAATAATTTTGGTGAGAGCAATAAAAGCATAAGTAACTTGATTTATAGGCCTGTCACTTTATGACATCAAGTTTATGTGCATCCTACATAGAAATCATCTTATCTCGAATTATAATCTGAAAAATATTACACCCCCTAAAAAAAGACCTATGGATATATTTATGAATTTTACTTGCGCCACTATTTACATTCTGTTAATCGTTAACAGCGCTCATGACGCGCTTAACAGCACCGTTATTTGAGTATCCACCCCTGCGAAACAGCTGATCGATTCGAAATACGGTCATACCAGCACCTACAACATGTTTTTCATGTCAAAATTGTATATTTGTTCCATAAACTAAAACGATAAAGTGAATCCCTTGCCGTCTGTGAAGAGTTCTCGAAGTACACCAGCCCATCATATTCACGGGTAAGTAATAGGCCAACAATTGGGGGCCCACAAACTTGCGCAACAAGTCGCCATTGCCGGTCAGCATCTTTCAGTCTGCGAATTTGCCAATTTAATTTGTTTTAAAGCGTCTCGAGTGTTGTTTACATTTTGCTTTGCCTATTTGGCGATAATTGCTAGCAGATCGGTCCTCAATTTATATTTGGAGTGAGATAATAATCAAGGTATTCAGGCCAACAAAATGGGAAAAACAATTGGAGAAGAAGAGCTACCCAAGTTTGGCTATCTGTTGTCTATACTCTTTTTCGAAAAGTGAGCATATTACAAAGTTCAAGAGATTTGCCCTAACGTTTTAAAACCCGTTTTTTTTTTTTTTAATTTTTGTGTTTTAAGTGAAAACTATTTAACTGAAAGTGTATTTTTATATACTCTGGCGGTTATTAAAAATTGGTTTTATAAGGCACATCGTTTCCATGATATAAACTTTAGATTTTTATTATTTTCCAGTTTTATAAAATAAACACAATTTAATATATACGCTATTGTACTTTAAATCGACTAGCCTATGTTTTCCAATTTTGCACGGTCTTTGATGGGAACCTTAGAGAAAAGAATTTGGATCAGATAAATCTAAAGGAGTCCAAGTCAGTCTCAATATTCTCTTAAATAATAGTTGATAATTTTCTCCTTAAACAAATCAATCTGTTCAATAACCAATTAATGATAAACACTTTATAATTCCATATTTTGTTAGATTTGTTAGATTAACTTATAATAAAATTGCTCTGCTGACTTGTTTTTAACTTAAGTCTCTATCGGCCAATTGCCATTTGTAAACTCGAGACCCGGGGGTAAAGTAACAATTTTTATAGGGCTGTTTGATGTCCCTGCCTTATCAACCTTCGATTGGAGCCCGTTACCGGGTCGTGTTTATAGATAGATAACATGTTTACCATCGCCCGAAATCCCGGTACACAACATTATTGGCAGCATGTGTTAAATTCTGTTTTCTTTCCTGCTCGCCAGCTTTTATTTATTTATTCAATTACTATTTTTGTTTGAAAGCATCCACGTGCGTCGATTGCTTCATAAATTATATGCAGAAAAAAACCAATTCTCTTCTTGTTTTGTTTTATTCTCGTTGTTTTTTGGCTGAATTTTATCTGAATATAAATGTGAGTGGCACTGGTCAAAGTCGAATTAATAACGAATATCACATGATCGGCTGGCATACTAAAAGTTGTTTTCGCTCTTAATCGAGCCCCCAAAAAAGTCAAGTTGATAAGGGATTTTACTACTTAAGAACAGCTGATTTTGGGAAGACTATTCCGATCATTCTATGTGTAACCTTTCCTGGCACGAAAGATCGCGTGATAGTTCAGTAATCCGTCTGAAACACTATCTCCATGGGTGTTTGCCCATTTTGAAGCCGCATGTTTGCCTTGCAAATTGAATAATAAACTGACACTGCAAATTGCAATTGCAATTGCTAAAGTGCTAATGAAACAAAAAAATATAAGACTGCTGGGTGGGGAAAAGCAGCCACAGCTGATGGCGTATTTACCTTGAACAAGAAACGCTGCCTCTGTTTTTCCTGGTGTTGTTGGTTGTCTGCTTTCCGCGAAGAAAACTATTTAATAAGTTTATAATTTTTTCGGCACACCAGGAGAGCGCGATAGAGAACCAGAGAGAGAGACCTCAGTACGTCATCGCTGTCCACACAAACTGGTCTGGGGTTTGGGAAATGGGGTTGGTCAGGGGGTTTTTTAGCTGCTGCTGGAGGCAAACGAAACGCAACGCTTGAGCACCGAAAGCGGACTGATCGCCGCCGCCAACAGCGCGCCAGATCCCACATAACAGCCGGCATTCGACCCCACACTCGAAGAAACGGAGAGTCAAAACTTACCTTAGAAATTCATTAACAATTTCTGTACTTTAAATCAGCGGTCGGCAACGCCCTATTAAGTGAGCATAGGGTTTTGTTCTGCCGGCGCGCTGCTCGCACGCGTATAACGTAGATCAGCGGTCTGCACACACACATCGATGAGCTGCCCAGTGCAAATTACTCACACAAATATAAAACAATGTCAATGTATGTGTGTGCCGACCGCTGCTTTAAATCTATATTCTGATTTGATTATATTTCTTCATGTATAGATTTTGCCATCATAAATCCAGAATTTACACGTGCTAAGAAAATAATTATAGGTACATCATATAATTATAAGCTATATAAATGGTTGTCAAATATAAAAATGAATTGTTAAGTAGCCGACCTTAATATTACTACGTTAGTTGCACGTTCATATAAATTACTAAACTACGACAGCCTTATATCCTGTATAATTACACAGTGTGGTTGAACACATATATTTTAATTAAATACTTGATTGAAGAGAATATTCGCTCTTTTTAAAATTTAAGGTTACAATTTTCAATTTGATGATAGATGTCTTGGGTCTAGGGACGACTATTGGGCGCCAAAAAGGATGCAATTAATTTTAACTAAGACTTAAAATGTCTTATTTAAAAAAAATTTTTTTAAATTATTTTTCTTATTTGTGTCTAAAACTACCTTAACTATTTAATTTAAAAAACAAATTGTATTACTTTTAGAAAGTCGTTTTATGAGTCATAATTTAGGGGGGTTTTATAATTGAATTTCTTTTTTTAAACATTTATCACTTGATTATGTAAAACTTTTGTTTCGAGTGTCCCCATGCGCTCTGGATTTGACTCAGGTCTGCTTTATCGCGCGGTCAAGGCGGCCATGTCGGAAGTGTTCTGGTACTGGGTATGTCACCATTACCATCGCCGGGATCCGGGGATTCAAGTTCGATGCCGGAGCGGGATCGACTTGTGTTAGTCAGTTAGTCGGTGGTTGGCGGTCAGCAGGGCGACACTGCGAGAGAGTGGGAGAGCGGGAGAAAGCGGCACACTGATCGAGTCGAGAGCAGAGTCAACATCAAACACAACTGGTGAGAGCTTTTTATTGACAACGCAATGGCTCTCCAATGGCTTTTTGGGAGTGTGTGTGTGTTATGATGATGGTATCGTTTCACATAAGAACCCATAATACATGGGGATTACAGTGTAATTGTGAGCTTTTGTAATACCTGGTACACCCATTCACTATCTCATTTTCCATTCGCTCATTATGGGTATGATCATGAAAATGCCATGTGGAAATGACTCAAAAATTGTTCACCCCGCAAACATTTATGTAATTTCAAGAAAATCCGGGCGTGTGCCCGCCAAAACACATTAATCATGGGACTCTCATTCAGCTAATTGTCAAAACATTTTCATTTTATGCCTAATTAAATAGTGGCATTACAAACAAAGCTCGATTTCTTTCAAATAGTTTAAATACTGCACTCAAAGTGCAAGCCAAGGTTTAATTAGAATGTATTTGTTTGCCTGCACTGCGATTAGTTAACGCTTTCAAGCTTAAAATTTGTTACCTAGCCTGTAATCTCTGGCGGGGATAATGTCGTGATAAGAACCCATAAGGAGAATGAATGGGCAAATATTTTCTCCAACTATTATTAACATCATGCTTAAATCTTGTCTAAATATTTTCTGCACGTTTCTGTTGCATGTCCCACCATTAACACTTTTTGTATCTCCCAGTTATTTTAGCAACTTTATCCCTAGTGTTAAATTTTGATTAAATACAATGGAAAATAACATCAAATGTGTTTTTAAAAATAACCTACGAAAGCTTCGCCGGAAAGCTTTTTCCTTGGCGTAGGGGAATCCCAAGAGCTTCGTGCCTCAAGTGGGTTTTTGTTCACGCCTCACACAACGGCCCATTAGCTCAGTTGGTTAGAGCGTCGTGCTAATAACGCGAAGGTCGCGGGTTCGATCCCCTCATGGGCCACAACAATTTTTTTTTTTATTTTGCAGGTATGATTAATATAATAAGGCAAGTGTTTGAAAAAATCAAACAGGTAGATTTATTATAATAATTTTGTAAGTTTAATAGGGACTTACAAAAGTTTTACAGCTTGCCTTTATAATATGGTTACAAATATTAAAAAACTATTTTAGGTAATATACTTTTCTATAACATATTAAGAAGTGTACCCTGTCCCATAACTCCTTTATATTAATGTTTAATAATTTATTATACCATTATTTACTTTCACTGCTGTATATTAAGTACAATTTCTT